CAGAGAGATTTTTTCTAAAATATATACCCATGATACTGAACAATGTTTCCTTTTCACAGTAATTGTCCAATAAGCTGATTCGTTTTGTGTGAGATGGAGGAAAATGTTTTTATGAAATGTATATCATATTTTTTAACTCCTTTATATCTTCACCTTAGAGTGAAAACCTTTCTACATATTTTAACAAATTTTTGTTAAAGCAAAACTTTTAATTATATTTTATTACAGTAATGTAGCATCCAAGAGAGGTATAATTTAACTTATTTAAATGATAACTACAAACACGTGTTTACCATATTTTACAGCACAATTTTTGTTCTTCCTGAAAAAAATACATTCAAATCACATTTATGAGGTATTCATTCTAAGGTGACAAATATGCAGGTATTAAAAAAACAAAAATTATGAAGATTTTCAAAAACTTGTACCTAAAAGGAAACCCCATAACGTAGCTATATGCAAAGTTGGCTGTGATAGCAAACAATTCCAAATACACTCCATAGATGTTGATGCCCTCAGCACTTTTGCTGGAATGAATCTTCAAAATCTGGGGTACTTTTACCAGTATAGAACCAGCTATGATGCCAATTCCCAAACCTTTGCTGAGTGATGACTTGAAACATGGTCCTGGAAAATGTAATTAAATATATTAGGCATTTTAAATAAGCTTCTAAAAAAAAATAGTGTAGCTTCACATTTTAGAATTCAAAACACAGTGACTACTTTAACACAAAATTAATACACTAATTTGTTTGAATTATCAAGAAAACTCACTAATGCCTATAAATAACAGAAACAAAGTGTAGTTGCCTGATAATTGTTTGTATATTATTAATAAAAATGTATCCTGTTATATACAGAATACAGGAATCAGGGTGTTCACAGTACCATTTCTTGGCAACTATGCTAACCAACTTGAATTAGACAATTTTAATGTCCTAATGTAAATATTTGTATTTAGATTGACATGCCATCTACCCTAAGGCAATCATGTTAGCTATTGAATGTAGCATTTTCAACTGCAAATACAGACAAAATTATTAGTGCACAGAAAAATTTATTATTTGTAGTAGATGTTCATACAATTTTTGCTTCTACAACACGTAAGCAGAATTTTAGTTTTTGTTTTTTAACATCAAGTGACAGGATGAACAAGTAGTGCGCCTGATGGTAAGCTACACGCTTGTCCATAATAGTTCCAGTGCCACTCAGCTCTTAAATCACAAACGCCTGAGGGGCACTGCCACTACGCCCGTCACCCTGAGACATATGTTGACAAGTCCCATGGGCCTGTAAATTCACCAGCACCCTTACCCTTCAAAACCAGAACACAGTAATGCTGACATTACTGCTTGGCGGCAGAAATAGATAAGGTGGCAGTACTTCCCTGGATGAACTGTTTCACAAGGTGTTCTTCTGCTACTAAAATAGACACACTGTATATAGATCCACAGGCAAAATAGACACTTAGATGTCTGGCTGTGGACGCTAGCTTGTTACATCATAGCATAATATGCATTAAGATAGGATATAGCATTAAAACTAATAAAATAATGTAGTAAAAGGAGCTGGTGAAAACAAATCACAAAGTTTTTGTCTTATATACACCATGGTACATAAATAATTATCATGGCATACATTGGTGTTGTATTATAGGTATCATTATCAGTGCTGTGGTACTTTCAAGTACTTAAATCACATGCATGACTAATATATAACAATAATAATTTATTTTCAGACAAGAATCCCATTTTACAGACTTATAAAAAAATATGATATCATACAACAATAATGCTAATGAACTAGAATAAAATGTAAAAACTAAAATAAAATAATAAGACATCAACATTTATTAAATCCTAGGTAAGTTGAATTTGTAAGTGCACTAAAAAGTAAGAACGAGGATATTGTTCATATACCAAAATTTACCATAAAATTAATAAAAAAAATAATCAAAAAAAGAATAGAAATTTAAACCAATTACCGTCGAGAAAGTTCCATTTCGCGAAGTATTCGTTGTAACAATTTTCTGTAAGCACATGCAACAACAGACCCTTTACAAAGTCACCCATTGTTAGACAGTGATTCACGTACTTATCCTAAATGCATTTGGTTTGAATAAATTGATAATAGTAGCGTATCCGATTTATCGATCAACTTGGCTTCGTCGGTTCGCCGGCTAAGTCGTCCAAATGAAATTAATGTTAAGAAGACGACGTTGCGTTGACATTGCCCACAGATAACTGTAGACAAGTAGAACATTGCCGTTCAATGACCTTTTTCGTCCAGAATTTGTAAGTCAATGTCCAAAATAGTGTAATATTATGGCTTGGACACCTTTATATACCACTGTCATTGGTATAACAATTAACTTAGTGTAACATGAAAGTTAAAACAGTTCACTAAAAATAATTATGTGACATGGATCTCAAAGGAAACGTGAAGGATGAAATGAATGAGAGTTATTTGTAACCCTAAGTATTAGGCTTTATTTAGTTAAAAACTAGACATAGTTTGAGTGACATTAACGTATGATGTGTATTTCTTATAAATACACTATATGGCATTTATCACATTCTCCTCAGAGACGTTCTGCAGACGTAGTCATTCAGGTGAGCAGGGTGATGGCACTGCCTGCAGAACGTCGCAGCTGAGTGCTCTCCGGGGACGGTTCCGTCGGGTTTTCATTGGCACTAGGTTGTTCCTGAGCTTCTTCCCATTCCTCATCTTCGTCACCTATTTCCGGGAGTCTATTTCCACTGGCGGTTTGCCACTATCGCTTCTCTCCCATTAAGGACGCGGACACGTGAATGTTGCGGGTTCGCTTCAAGCAGATCTACTTCCTCCACAATGGGGTCGTACTTATTCTTTCTGTGGTGGTTCTTAAGCAATACTTGTCCAAGGTTAGTTAACCATGAAGGCAAAGATTGGCCACTCGCTGAACGCCTGGAATGGAAGAATATTCGGTCGTGGGGTGTACTATTTCTTTTTTTATTAATTGAAAAGCATTCACAGTCTCTAACGACATAGGAAATAATGATTCTTGTGCAACAAGAGAATGGATATTGTTTGAAAAATGAGGAATCCACTTCGAATAATGTGCAAATAGTCCTATAGCCCCTCTTAGAGAAGCAGTGCTTTCAGTAACGGGGAGCTCTAAAAGTGGGCGTAATAAATCAGGATCAGGCTTTATTATTCCGTCGTGACTATTATAGCCCAGTATATTATTGATTTGCTGTTTTGAGAATTCGCTTTTATCTAGATTCAGGGTCAAGTTATAGCGAGTGGCGATATCGAGGAAATGTTTTAAATTTTCGTTGTGATCTTCTTGGACACGTCTACATATTGTGATATCATCGACATATGCGTATATTCCCTGGGTTTTTTCTTAACTAGGATCGTGTTGATAGCTAGCTGGAACGCAGTAACTCCATTCGTTACTCCGAATAGGATTGTATAATAATATATAAAAATTGATACAAGTTGCCGTCTGCTTCGAAAGCAGTGTAAGGTTTCTCACGTTCTAGAATCGGTATCTGATGGTAGGCGCTGCGTAAGTCAATTTTGCTAAATACGAGTTTGCTACGACGTCCTCAATGCTGGGTAGGGGATACGCAGTTGGGTATATTTATTGACCGTCAGTGAGTAATCGATACACATCCTTTTTTTATGGTTCTCATTTTATGTAATTGGCACCTGAGCTCGCCAAGGTGATTGGCTGGGCTCGATAATATTATCTTCCAGGAGTGTCTTAATTTCCGCGCTAATAAATGCGGCATCATCTGATGAGTATTTCCTTGATTCAATAGCAATTGGTTTGCAGTCCGGCAAAAGATTCGGGAACAGACTCACTGGCTTTATATTAGCACGTGATAAGGAACATAGTTTCAGTGGGGCGCGCGGCCCTATGCAGTGCATTTCGAGTGCTTTATGTTTCTTCAAATTATCGTGCCCATTTATGACGTCAGCGAATAGACCTCGCATTACTAAAAAGTCGGCCGCAATACACTGTCCTTGCAGTTCGATACTTAACATACAAAGTCCATCAACAGTGGATACCATATGTGTCGTAGCCATAGTCACGTTCTGTTTACATGTGGTTTTGTGTAATTTGTAATTCTCAACAAGTCTACTGTTAATGAAGTTTGCTGACCATCATGTATCAATGAGCGCTGTATTAATTATAAATCGACAGTCGCCTTACTGAGATCACTGGTAGCCGCTATAATACAATGAGTTTGCCAAAGTATTCGAGCCAATTTCTGGGGTTTCATCGCTGCAAATTGCAAAAGCGCTCTGTTGCCGAGGTCTGCTCTTACATACTTTGGCAAAATTGCCCTTTTTGCCGCAAGTTAAGCAAGTTGCGTTGAAAGCCGAGCAAACACGACGCGAATGTCTTTTAGACCCGCAGAAATATCAGCTGTCGTTCGGCGAAGATATGTATGGGCCCTTGGTAATACTCGTTGTTAGTCTGCACCATTTCGAATGAGCGAGCCTGCCGGTGTGCATCATCTAGGCTTAAAGAAGTATTTTCCAGAAGTCTCTGGCGTATGGCCGCTGATGACAGACCTGCTACAAATGCGTCTCTCACATAATCACTCTCGTTTTGCTGAGCAGACACGGTTGTGAAAGAGCAGTCTTTTGCCAGTAATTTAAGCTCTTGAATGTACTTGTCAATCGTTTCGCCTGGTTGTTCTTATCTTTTAATGAGTTTGCACCGTGAATAAGCTTCATTTGGCGGTTTGATAATGAAAGAATCTAGTTTCGCAATTACATTATCGTATTCTTTCACGTCACATACTTAGCAGTAAATGTTTGGAGATAGATGGTTTACTAACAGTTGGTTATTCGTATCGTCGCTGCAAGCTTTGTCGACCGTCTGCACAGCCGAGAGAAAGGTTTAGAATATTTTCTTCCAGTGCATCCAGGTAATCGTATTGTCGATGTTTGAAGGCGGATCCGCGTCGAATCGCTCAGCACGTAAGTATTTATCCATTTATCTAAATAAATTGAAATGAATGAGAGTTATTTGTAATCAGAAATATTAGGTTTTTTTTGTTTAATTCTTCTTCTTCTTTTAAATGTTATGGCCCCATAAAATCTAGACATAATTTGACTGACATTAACCGCTACGTTAATGTCACTGTGTGTGTGCATCACTGTGGTTCATGCTAATCAATAAGTAGTCTGTGTCTAGCGTGAAACCTGTTAAGTAACTTCATAATTTTATATACCAAAATCATTGACTTACAAATAAATGGACGACGGGTCTAATACAAAAAGCACGAAAAAAATGTCCCAAGTCAACCTATTCGAAATTTAAATTGTAATGTCATCGCAGTATCGCGCTGTCAGTAGAACAAATGAAGACTAAAGCGGAGTGTCGCGCTCTGTATACGATTTTAGCGCCTTACAAGTGCGGACACTTTTTAGCGCGGACCCGACGTTCATATAATTGTAAGTCAATGACCAAAATAGTAGAAACATAAAACATATTTCATGTATGTATCTTGTACACGATCAAAAGCTCACCTTGAGGTTGAGGTGCCCTTTGACTTATCCATTGGAACCGCAAAACTTTATACAATAAAGTAAATTTTTTTCGGACGAAAATATAAACTGTCAAATTCTACGCCAGCCTGAGCCAAGAGCTTAGAGGATGGAAAAAAATAAAAGAAGCCAACCAAGAGCCAGACTGCTCTCGGACGGGAAGAGGTTATAAATTAAACATCAATCGCGTCGACAGAAAGAATTAAAGAAAATTATAACGGAGATTACATTAAAATATTTGTGACAAAATCTTACTGTTAAATACAAAATGCCGTTCATGAAAGGGAGAGCACCTATACGACGAACGCTCAATTATTTAAATGCAGGAAAACTAGTCCTGAAAGATAAAATTAAAATATTCTCAGTGGCGTACAACATTAATGGGCAAAACAATACTGGAGCAAAAGAGTTCGTTTTCTGGTATTTACCACAAATTCAGTACAAAAACCCAGATGTTCAAGTGGCAACGCTGAAGAACTTGACACCTTCTCCTTTTATAAAGTGTTACTTCGAAGATGGAAGGCAAATTTTGGTTGATATAGACAACAAGTCCAAAGAAGATATTTTGGAGCATTTGTTGCGTACAGTTGGTAAATCTAAGGAAGTTTTGGAAGCCGAGGCTATTATGGCTGAAAAGAAGGATAACCCAGCGAATTTCGGAGCAGGTTGTGAACGACCATGTATTTGTGAAGTGTATGGACAAGTGCCTTGTCCTGGTGTAGTGCCTTTGCCAAGGTTTATGAGAGGAAAATATAAGAATGCCGAAAGTTAGGATATTTATTTATTGAATGTAAATTGATTTTTATAGTTGTTAGTAATGTTCTACCTACTTCAGGTTAGAATATTCCACACATGTAACCAAATACTGTCATAACTAAAAAATTATGCAATTGAGAAAACACGATTTGAAAAAAAAAACAATCTTATTGTGAATAATGGGATTATTTTTAATTATCTATCAGCTATCCACTTATAAACAAGAATATAAATTTATTGGTTCCTGAACTTTCAAATTGTGTTTTCTCATTTCGATCATTTTTGAGTCACAACGGTATTTGATTTCATGTGCGATTTATTGTTGTAGATTGATTTTTTTAAGATGTCAGTAATGTTCAGGCCTAAGATCTAAAGCAAACAGCATTTTGATTGTAACATACACATTGATGATGAAATGATAATATCTACTAACACACCACTTATTCCCCGTTGTTAAACACATAGCTGTACAAGAATTGAAAATAAAAATAAAAAAAAAATAGTCTAGATTTGGAAAGTAATTTAAAAATGGAAAACTACATACTTTTTTTCAATTATTCCTATTAGAGATGGGGAAAAACAGCTTATTTTTATAAACGTTAAAATGTAGTTCTTTTCTTAAAAAGCATGCTTTTTAAATTGCCTTTTCCTTAAACGCTTGTTAGTTTGAAGCTTACAAAATTGTTTAGAAAACAACAAAAGTAGTATAGACATTTATGTTAAAAAAATCTTGCAACATTGTGTTGAAAAGCAAGACTAGACCACCAAAGGTTTTAAGATACAAGAGTCTGTTTCTTAGGAGCCTTATTTTAAAAAAAACATGCTCTTAGGAGCATTCTAACTTTAAATCCTAAGTATTCGTATTTGCTTTATTGACAATGACCGAAAACATGTTGGAAGAAGACTAGTAGTAAACAGTTAAAATAAACTTATTTTCAACTTCAACTTAAGTTTATATGTAAAACACGAGTTTTATTTTTATTTATAAAATTATTATAAATAAAAATACACATTGATAAATTATTTGTTTAGGAAACATAGATGACGGGACTTGAAACATAAGCACATTGTTAATGTTTACCCTTAAATTGAAAAGTGTGCATATGTGCTTTTTTGAAAAAGCAAACTTTTTAAAGTGCTTTTCGTTTAAATGCCCAGCTCTAATTGCCATGAACAAATTTGTATATAAATTAGTATTTATTAAAAAACTTAGAGGTCTCATCGCTTCATTGTCAATATTGTATTTGAGTACCTATGGTTAATTTTGCTGATTAACAGATTCCAATGTCATAAAATTTATTTGCACATTCAAATTAAATTACACAAATGTACAAGTACAATTAAAATGTATTTGTTAATTAAACAATATAACATAAACATTGTTACAAAATTCAAAACACTGACAGCATACTTTTAATTTATGTACATAATTAAATAATCATCTGTTAAAATTTTTCAGTCATTTCATTAATAATTTAAAAATTATATCCCAATATTACATTAGTCATCAAAGCGGCGGCAATGTACTGAAAGTTGTCAAATGCATTGTAAGTTCTTGCTTGATTATGATTCCATAAAGAGTCTTCAATTTCTGGTCCCCTTGGACAACAATGGAAGAAGATCCAGGGATTCTTGGCTTTTTCTAAATCCTGTAGTAAATTTTAAATACAAATCTATCTCAATGTAAATCCAAGCCTAACATGAACTTTTGGAAAATGCTATTTTTAATAATCTATATTTAAACAAATTAAGGATTATAATTGAATAACGTGTAGAATCTTGGTCACATGATTAACAAAAAAGGTATTTTTTCTGATAAGTCTGTACAGTTGTTATAATGACAATGATGGTTAAACATAGATATAGGTTTTTCCTATATCTATGTGGTTAACAGCTGACTAACATTAAACAATTATATTATAAACATACATATGTATGAAGAGAATGAAAACTAGAATTCAGTCCAGACCAATGTCCTGTGTGTATATATGGTTTTCATTGATTCACATCTCTAAATTGCCCTGGCAATTTTATTGTGAATTAATATTCTCTACTAAGTTGCCTAACTCACCATATATTTAATCTTAAAATGATGAAGTTTTTCTTTTTTCTTTGTGGTTGGACCAGCAATGATGACTTGACTACCTCTAATCACTTCTGCATTTTTTGTAGTAACTACCATTTTTGTATTAGTTTTTTCACATAGGTCTTCACTAATTTTGTAGAGGAGCGGTGTTATTGGCTGCAACTGTAAAGTTTTATGTTTGGATAATATGTTTTACAATTAACCAGATAACTTCTCATAGATATCAACACTAAGACAAAAGGCGATGTACGATGAGATTTGGTCCTAGTTATCAGTTTCGCTTCCATACTGGACGTGTGTTTTATATGGAGTATCGTCAGTACGCTTCAACGTAATAACTATTAAGTAAAGGCTGATTCATGTTACACCGTGCTGGGCAGTGGCGGTTTTGCAGTCTTGGCCGCCCTAGGCCCCAGTCAGGCCCAGGTCATGTAGTCAGTACTAGCATCCGTTCAGTAGTTTTTGAGTTTAACGCGATCAGACAGAAAGACAGACGTAGTGATTATACATTAGGTACATTAGAGATATATGTAACATATCCATATTTTATACATAAAACGTATGAAAGTGTTTTAGGAAGGTTATTGTTATACGATGCGGTGCAGTGAGCCTTTAGAATATTTAGGTACTTTTGCTTTATTTCTTGCTATCATCAGTGAATTTTTTGTCACGATTGGTCGCCCTAGGCCCGGGTCTACTGGGCCTTAGGGCAAATTCGCCACTGGTGTCGGGGCCGGCTCGACTAACAAGGACTCAGCCCAGTCAAACATGAATTAGTTTATGTACTTTGTATGCAAAAGCATAATATAGACTTGACCGTGTCACGGCCGGCGGCGCACGACGGGAGCACGGCCCGGCCCAGGCACGTGAAACGGCCATAATCTGTGCTTCTGTATCGACGGCGCACTATTCCGTCCATACGACTCTGGAGGTCTATTCCCGTTTCCGTCCTCGAAATAATTACTGTCAAATACGTAATACTCGACTAAATAAAAGAGGCATGATGCGCATGAATCATATTTGACACTTTCCTTTGATTTTGTCAAGTTGTGACGATGTGACCTCCGTACATCATTATCCCACCTTTTTATCGCCTTTTATCCGGTTCCTGGCCACTCGTTTTTAAATTTTGAATTGTTCTTTAATTCTTTTGCCTTGCCATTCTGATTTTGTCTCGTTCCATCGTCACCATTATTTCTTTCATTTCCTACTATATCTTTCTAATTTGTGATCGTCACTCCCTGCTTGCGCGTGTACGCATCTAATCGCGTAATTGCTATAAATCCGCTAGTATGAATTATATAAATGTTAATATGATGTGCAGGAAAGCGGCGTTTATAGGCGGAGTGACTTCACTGTACTCAACTCCGAGCTGGAGGCAGAAGAGTGGCAGACGGAAGAAAAGACATTAATTCTAGCGCGAGATAATTCTTAAAGATAAGGAGCCCATCGAATAAACGTGTACCTAATTATTTTCATTAAAAAAAATAAAAAGTAAAAATTTTAATAACTGTACCTACATCTAATTAGTTTATTTCGTAAAATGTGTGACCATAATGAAAGAAATATAGTAACCTGTACTTTTACGTGTCGTAAATAAAATTTACAATGTAAAGTAACAAACAAGTAAAGTAAATCAAGTTGGTATTGCTCCTAAAATATCCCGTCTTGTTAAGATCAAGTTCCTTCTAGCGTTAATTTTTAACTGCCTCCGTGGGCGAACGGTTACCATGCCGGACTGCCACGCAGAGGTCCCAGGTTCGATTCCCAGACCGGGAGAAATATTTGTATGACCTATATTTATTTCTCTCGTGAGTTTGGGTGTAATTTGTGGTTGTCTATGTGTGTGTCCATGGCACCCGCGACACAGGGTTTCCCTAGTGCGGGGCTAGGTTGAGTGTGTGCGTTATTATATGTTTTATTAAAATTAACATTTTCTTTCTGGAATTTATGAATATTTGTATAGTCTATTGTTGTAGGTAAAGTCTGCCATCGGAAATCACCGGTTAAATTCTGAATAAACGAGTGTCTTCTTTAACATTGACTTTGGCGGAATCATCGATAATCAATGAAGCTTTAGCACTTAAAAATAAATAAATTAAGTACATACTACATGAAAAGCTACATACATCACAAGAACATTTATAAATTAAATTTGCACCAAGCATAGGACATAACAGCAAATACGAATTCAAGACTTGATGTGGTGGACCTATGTAACCGACTTGCATATTTTTCATTGTACCGAATTCTTCCTGTAAATGAAAAAACGAAGCTGATCAACAAGAACACGGTAGGAATGACGTACATATTCGGAAAGACGGAGACAGAAAGTGAATGAAGGAGTCTAAATTATCTAGATGAACGGAGAAAGTTGGCATGTCATCCAATATTTTTTACTTAAAAAGTCGGTAAATCGGTTTCCATGTCGGCTAATGTTGCTCTGGAGACTGCGGGCCAGTGCCAACCGCATCATCCTGAACCGTACCAGGAGGTATGATCCTTTTTTGCTAACGAACAACATTATTTTAGTATATTTTTCAAATTTTTGTGTTGTTACTAACGTAGTCCCTAAGAAAATTGTTTTTACTTAATTAACAAATTTATGGACTGTTGCCTCAAGGCAACTTCAAAGTAATGATATAAAAATAAGTACCTATATAAATTAAACGCGTAAGATCCTATACAACCTCAAATGGCTTTGGTTGATTCCGCATAACAGTGAAAGTGTTGAATCAATCACTTTAGAAAAAATATACAGTAAAATTGACGATCTACACTGATTACTATACGGCGTGAAAACAGGAGTCCTAAAAATTTTCACAATAGAAAAAAAACACAAACTTACTTCGAAATTTTACAAGAAAACCGCTGTATTCAATGGGTACTTTGCATATACCAATGATTTTTTTAAATATCTACTAAACTAAATAGAGCACATATACTATACTATATACATTTTTGAAATGGCTTTAATTTCGTTAGTAAAAAATAAATTCGAAAAAAAAAATGAAATAAAGGCAGTGTCCCTACCGCTCGACCCAAGCAAAATAAACCGTATTAGTACGGGAAAATTCGAAGTATAGACTCTTAAGGCTTAGACTCCTCCGCTATACACTTGTACAGTCAAGAGCACATAACGCTTGCTACTTTTTACTGGATTTTTTTACTACATCGTCGTTATTGTAAGCGGCATAGAGTTGAATTTAAATCTTAACAGTCAAACTTGAAACTGGCTCCGTGGCCGAACGGTTACCATGATGGACTGCCACGTAGAGTTCCCAGGTTCGATTCCCAGGCCGCGAGAAATAGTTGCATGGCCTACATTTATTTCTCTCGTGTGTTTGGGTGTAATTTGTGGTTGTATGTGTGTCCATAGCACCACAGGGTTTTCCTAGTGCGGGGCTACGTGCGTTATTATTATTATATTATTATTTGATGTGCTCTTAACCCTGTATCAGAATTAAAAAGTTAGTACCGAGGGGAGGCCTCATTGAAAAGTATGAAGAAACCAAGTCCAGTTAAAAGCTATAAAAAAACACTTCACGCCCTTTTCCCATCAGGTTTGGCAATGACCTTACACTTGTTACGATCCCGACACAAATTTTTCGCCTCATCAACACGCATACATACAATACCTACATGCTTGACTATTTAACACCCTTGACATGACCTTTCTTTAGGACTTCCTCAATTCTTGGTAGGTTCGCGCTTGCCAGATTGGCCACTCACATCGCCTTTTAAATTGGTTCCTTAACCTTGGTTCATTCATCGCTACATGTCCGTACTTTATAGTGTTATTTATCTTACACACACACACACACACATATATGACGAATTTGTCTGTCTTATTCAGTTTAAATGTATTGTATGCAGTGCTTCATGTGAGCACAACATTAACATCAAAATAGTGATTTCAATATGCTGCTGTTTCATACTAACAAAGATCGCCATCACTGTTGCGAGCGACTGAATCGATGAGTGCGTGCGAGAGTGCATACACAGCACAGGTACCGTAGATTGCTCTGCGAATCGCTGAACATGCATATGAGTTGAAGTGCTCACAAATATGACGTCCGACATCAATGCGAACACCCTAGACGAAAATAAGGACAAAGTCAAATATTAATTTATTCCATTGGTAAAAATTTTATACTTGAAAATGTCATGACGTTTACAACATGTTGCAGTAGCTTACAAGCTACTACAACACGTTGCAAACGTCTTAGCTCGTTTACTATGAGAAGAACGAGCAAGAAACTCTAGGAATCGCATTTTTTAAATAAACTTAAATACTATGGAATACACTTTTAATCATAATTGTGTGGAATCTTGCATCTCATGTTGTCTTTCCATACACCTTTATCTATCACATATTCTATAATTTTGCAATATGTTATTTCAATTAAAATGCTTTTAATGTAAGTTTTAAACATAGGAAATGATAATATTAATACACCTGTGCTCCGGAATCTTATTGTAAAAACGTATACAGTTCCCCATACAAGAATCGTTTACTCTTAGTTAAACGAAATTGTGGTACCATGCGTTTGGATTTAGTTCTAAAGTTAATATTAGGGCGCTCCCTGATCGAGAACATTCGCCTGTAATGTAACATCCAAGTCTCGATTAGGCTGCGATTCCACCAGAGATGTGTGACGTAGCAAGGCGTGTGTGCGATTGCCTCTGAACGCCCGCGAGAGCCCGCGGGCATTCAAAGGCGAGTGTCTAAGGGTCGTATTCTAGAACTCTACTCAATGGTCAAGTTAGGATTTGAGTATGGTTAAAAGCACTTGATATCATACTCAAGTCCCTGCCATTAGGGACGTATTTCCAGTGCTTGTGTTGCCCGTGCAATCCTGACTTGAGCATTGAATAGAGTTCTAGAATACGACCCTCAGAGTGCGTGCGAGTGCGCCTTGCTACTTCGCACATCTCTGGTGAAATCGCAACCTAATCGAATCTTGTATTATACATTACAGGGGAATACTCGTCAGTGAAGGAGGCAGTATTGTAATGTAATGTTCGAAAACGAATCTTGAATGTTACATTACAGGCGTATGTTCGCGGTAAGGAAGCACCCTTCTGTGACTAACATCACCTACATTCGCGCCTAAAGTACCTACTTAAGTTTTATTTGTCAGTGGTATTGCATATGCTTTTGGTGAAATTGCAGGCACATGAGACTTGTCAACTTATGCCTCAAGATGACAGGCGCAGTGGCAGTGTCCCTCAGATCTTTGTGATTTAAAGGCCTGGACGGGCGTGACGCTAACAAAAGACTCAGGATTTGTTCGTCCTATAATGGTATCATAAAAAAAATCTTTCAGTTTTGTAACGCCTAGATATGAATCGAATAATATTAAAACTCGTATAAAAAATCAGTTCAAACGAAAATAAATCTTACATTAAAAAGTAGGTGCGTTAGTGCAGCAAACTACACACCACCACACACCAATTTCCGATTTAACGTAGAGCTACTAACCCTTTACTTCAACAAGAATTACATTGAAGAGTTTTTTTTGTAATTGAAAACGTACCCACCTGCCCGCGTAATCTTGATCCCAGACAATATTATCAACAACGTGCACATCGGAAGCCCCCAGGAACGTGGCCGCCTTCGATACTGCCATGCTAAGGAACGGCTTGTTTACTTCCTGCAGTATAGTCACTTTAGCTTTTGTCAATAAGTTCTATGTGGAAAGAATATAAATCATCATCAGCCACTACATTCTTCACTACTAAGTTGTGAATTGTTCTTTTAGCTCTACAACGTTGGTAGCCGTATAGCTACAATAAGGGCTTTGAATGTATTACCTTTACTAGGTCATGGTTCCATTTAATGGCGTTCTGCTCTTACGTCTTTGTTTGTCTTATCTTCAATCTACAATCTCTAGAACCTACTGTAGATCTGACTGCGCTCGAAAAGTCTGAATTTAATCGGTTCCAATAGCAAAATTCTAGTGTAAAAGTAAATTTATTAATTGTGCGTGTAAAATTTTCTTGTCTACTAGAAGATTGCGTCCGCTCGCTACATGAGACCGATTTCCCACATTTACGAATTGACAATGTTAGTATAGCTGGTATTATTTGCTGAAGTAAATTCTAATGCCAATTTGTTACTAAATTGATCATTCAAACTTACTAGTCTTTGACGATGTGTGTTGGGGTAATAGGATTTTAAAGTTATGGCACTGTTGAGGATTTCCATGATCATCTCTGATGTCCAAAATTTGAAGCATATCAAATGCTTTGGTGTGACGCCGACTGGAAATCTAAATGATATTGTGTTATTTGCAGATAACCGTGATATCTATGTAAGTACTTAGATTTAAGCTTTGTTTGCAGAAGTGTCTTTTTTCATGCCGTACCATTTCCCTTCAACCTTTCTCGTGAATTAAGTGAGCAGATACTCGATATAAACAACGATATTACTTACTCACAAGAAGCAAAAAGACGAATAAATAAATGATATAGGTGTATGTACCTACTAGACAATGTACAAAAGTATTGAGGAGCAAGGTTTTTTGGTAGAGCAAAAGTTATACTTACGAATAACTAGCACATCTTTTTTGAGCCGGTACTAACGGCAGGCTTGTCTTTAAAGTACGAAATAATATCATTATATTTGGATGTAGCTAAGTACGATTCCAAGAAAGTTATCTTTTTTGCCATTTACGCTCGGATTTGGTATAAAAATAGGTAAGTTACTGTAAAGAATACTTGTTACGACATAAATGACACATTAAACAGTACAAATTTAATAATATGGGGATAACTGAAATACCGTTAAACAGTAACAATTTTCTACAAAGCTGTCATCTTTCGTAACATTATTCCATAGTCTAAGCTTTGTCCTGACTCTGGATCTTGATGCAAAAAAACTCTATGTACAGTTTGCAACTGACCAGTTTCTTAATTAAAGTTCACATGTGAAAAAAAAAGCTAATGTAGGGAATAGTTTCGAATGACGACAACAAAGACTTAGGTACACATAGACATCGGTGGATGACGTTTTTTTCTTCCGTGAGGGTATCCCACATCTTGTTACGGGTGGGTACCCGTAACTGCGATGAACAACTTCTAATACGGGAGTAATAAAAGTTGTTCATCTCTTAATCAAATAACTTCATTGCTTCTCCTTTTAGCATAACTTTATTAATTTACTTTTAAAATAAACCTTACAAAAGAAGAATTTAGATACCATAGGGTTGCACTCCATTTGTCAGCACGCTTCCATACAAAACGTGTTTTATTTCCGCATTGATACAGCTTACTGCGTCTTTTCTTGACTTGTCGTAGCTTTTGTTCAGAATCTCTTTCTCTGCATTTAACAATTGTATGATGTTGGGGCGTTGATGGCCAATCCTTTTAATTAAGCCCGAGTTCCAGCTTTAGCTAGAATTGTTAGTACGATGTCTTTCACCGAACACCGACCACAATTTTCTAACATCGTCGTTCTTGAGCCAGTATTTCATATAGTTTCATAACTTCGATATGTGATTGCAACTTTACATACATTTAACTTAGGGGATTCTAATGAACTGCTGAGTTCACAGACTCCCTGGGGGACTCAACGGTGGCCACAGTTGTATCCACAGATATATATCGAACGATATTTTCGCGCGCGTATATACTAACTAGATACTAATATATAATGTAATGCGAGTAAAAAGTTGGGCGTCTTGTCAGCACGTATTCGTGTTTTGGTTTTAGAGACTCCCACACTTATGGGCGCCATACCGCACCATACACGTTAACACCTGCGCCATAATATTTTAATTGAATGTGTTTATTCGGAAGCCTGGATACGTAGACCGCTTCGCTAATCGATCGCATACTTATGCGCGCAAAAGTTACGATATACTGAGCCGTGTGGCCACAATACCGGCGATAGGTACTACATAGAAAACATCGTTTGGTATAGATTACACATGTGCGTCGATCGTAAAGTCTTCGTCGAGAGACTGCGGTTGAAAATGTTATTTTATTCAATCTTTCTATTAATTATCAACATTTTTTAAACTGCAACCTGTAGATTAGTAGGTATTATTCTACAGTGGTACATAAGATCATTGGCACTGTTGTTAAAAATAACCAACTTAAGGAATGTTCGAAAACAAACGTAACATAAAAATAAAAGCTCAATGTATGTCCTACATACACACAGATAGGAACAAATTTCAATTGTACAGAAAAATTGTATTGAATAAATAACAAAGTAGCTAATGGTTCATTAAAATAAAATTAACTTTTGCGTGGAAATACCGTCCTCGGTGGTGGGCGGAGCGCACATAGTACGGGCGCGCAGCTGACAAGTGGTGATCAAACTTTAATATACAAATTTCCCTCAACTGTAGTCTTGCAAAGTTGTAACTATTGTATTTGTGGAATCAATAATATCCATCCACTAGATCTGAATCTCTTTCCAGATTATATAACAAATATATTTTCGGCAGCCCTTTCCATTGAAAAAAAAAAACACTTATATAACAGCCATATAAAAAAGGTGCAAAAAAAAAAATACCGCAAATTATGGTTAAGGGCTCGTTAAAGACCTCCGCATTGCTGACAACATGTCCGTTGATAAAAGGATAGTGGACAGATTACGTATGTGAATCAAATAAAACAATTAACTTGTTTTGCACGATTTAATAAAACGAAAGGATGGAGTGGTTGCAATACGCATAGGTACTTAATTATTATATTACAAAAAAGCCTTAAATTTTTTGAACTTTTGGTATTGAAGTTCATTAAGATTATAATTTTTATGAAATACGATTATAATTTTCAGGAAATATGAGTGTTAAAAAAACAATTTTGTTTTCGATATATTTGAATTGGTAGTAAATTAAATAGGTTAGCTGTTTTTAATTTCTTAATAATTGAAAATTTATGCACTCGTTTAATGAAGTCAACGTCGGCGACACACATAAGATCTTGGGCGGGATGCGCTCTCAATACAATGTCTGCCAAATTCTTTCGATGTGAAGGGTTACACGCTAGTGCACAATAAATAACTAGGTACTCTACAAACGCGGCGATACGGTTTAATTTTGCACTAACAAACAATTTAAAAACATTTCCACATGCCTCCGGTTGAAGTTCGTCTATAAACATTAGCGATGGGCGATTGCAAATTATTTCAATATTCGACTCGTTAGTAATTACTAATCCTGTCATTCGAATGACAAATTAGTAACCTACTGATTTTCTGCCATGCTTACGATAAGAACACTTAAGTCTATACGTATTTCAAACTTATTTACTGTTAAAATTGTAAGCACGGCAGTTTTCGTATTCGAATGACTGGAATGATCATTCATGACTAATACATAGATTCCATAGAGCACAACGATACTCCCTGACATGTCGTCGCCTTACTTTCTCAAACAATATCCTAAAGCACAAAGTAACTAAAATGCAAAAAATGCATTGTATATACAAATTTTGCAGGTTGATTCACATCATATTTCCTTCATATTCACACACTGGCTTTTACCTATTCTTAAAGTAATGCATCCAAATTAACATCCTTGATAAAAAATTTAAAATAAATAGAAAGTTTAGTCATCTCCTGAATAATCACTTTTAATAAGATACGTGTTTGAGAAAATATGGCATCGATATGGTAAATACCGGGACAGGAATATTTTGATATGGACATGGTTCCGATTTAATAATCATTAGACTCGTGCACCCGAATCTAATGATTATTATACCCGAATGACAGGGGCATTCGGTACCGGTAATCATTCGACTCGGGTCGATTAACCGTGCTTGGATTCGCCTAAGCGAATGACTTACCCATTCCAATGTTTAGTATTAGTAATATTCAAACTCGTGTATCGCTACTAAACATGTGTTGTACAATTTTGACATTAGTATGTGTCGGTCGCTTGTCACCGACGAGTATCATGCCCTTTAAAGACTTGAACATATTTAATTTTATCTAAACAATTTTTTGTTCATCATGTATTTATTTATATTTTATGTTTGATTTTGTATATTTTTCATTAAGTATGTTAGATGTATACTTACAGAGTGATTTGTTGTTTTGCTTATATACTTACTAAAGACATGATACGGTCGGTAACATTGAAAAATCCGGGCATTATTTATGTCACCGAGCGGCTTTACAGTATTCACATAAAGCACATTTTACGCGATCTTTCGCGTGACCTAAATGCAATGTGTGAAAATATTATCTCGGAGAACAAACATCACAATGCTAAAAATAATTTTGTAACACAATCCACTCTATTTATATACATATATATTAACTCTTGTCCTTTGACTAAGCATAACAGTCGCAGAATGTGTTCTTATACGTTTTATTTTAACCCAACAAGTCAGGTTTTTATATTATGTTTTTCATTCATAGGGCGTCAATTAATCAAGCTGTCGCTTAAATCTAAACAGAAGTATATTTCGTAGTAACTAAATTATATTATGGCTGGTTTTAGAGTAGTGCTTAGGGCAGGGGTTCGCACGGATGTAGTACTTAAGACCCATGTTACATACTACTCTGAATCCAGCCTGTCCCCTAGGTAAATCCATATCCAGATGCTTTCGTATAACCTTAAAATATACAAACATTATATACAAAAAATCTTACACCTAAATGTACTGTAGACTCATCGAATTCCTAATTTTAATCTAAACAAACTGTCTGCAATGTTATTAAGGCTCGCAATCAATTTCTTATTTTTAACGCAGCAGGGCAACATTAAAGGGAAATGATTTATTATGTTGGCAGTATGTTCGTGATTGTTTTTACAAAAGTACAGACGGTAGTACATCAAGTTACACATTGATGGACATTGTCCCGTTGTACTGGAGGCGATATTCGAATAAAAGTGCATAAACTGGATGCGCTGTTGACTGCACATAATAATGTTTAAATTCGCTGAAATTACCCTTTCAACACGAATGTGCGTAACTTTCATCACTTACACGAAATGCTAATCAGCTATGTAAGCAACTTGTTTTCATCATAACTATTTACATACGTAATATCTTCCATGTTGTAAGGGCTAACATTGGGCATCATTGGTCTATCTGATTACAAAGGAAATATCATTAACAATTATCATGGTATTCATGCCCTTAAGAGAGTCGCTAAAGAGTAGAAAAAGCTTATAAGAGTCTATGCCACAAAGGTGGTTTTTCCACCGGCGAGGCGAGACGGGAATTGAAATCTCGCCGGGCTATTTCCACCAAACATTGCCATTAATAGCTCGCGCGAGCCATCGCGATCTCGCGCTGTGATTGTGAATAGTGAAGATTTAGTGCTGTTCAGTTCATCTAGCGATAAATACGCGGCTGAAGTAACATGTCACGTAAATTATTAAATATATTAACGGTAGAAAAATCGGATGGAACGATCTCTTTTTTAATTCTTAAATCGTACATACTCCACAATTTCGCGATTGATAGTAATAGCCATTGGGAGCACGCGCGTGACCATGTGGGCGAGCTCGCGCGATAATTTTTGTTTTCATTAGAGGATATAATACTCTTTAGGGCAGCAATATGGTCCAATATTACATCAATAAATATTTCAATTTTGCCTCGCCCATCTTCATCAATCCAGACCATTTTCACCGAAGATGGGCTAAGAGAATTGAAATTTTGTCATACAAATTTCAATCCTCGTCTCGCCTCGCCGCTGTTAAACTACCTTAATATTCTATGTAGACAGCAATTCGGTTAACAAATGTTTCAATTCTCACCTCCCTCATCCTCGTCAATTCTGACCATTTACATCGAAGATGCGCTAGAGAATTGAAAATTTGCCATCAAATCAATCAATCCTCGTTTCTCCTAGTCTCGTCTCGTCATGTCTCGCCGGTGGAAAAGCACCTTAAGACATGCGTCTGTGGTCCGAGCGGAAACGAAATGCGCGAAGTCATTTTCGCCCTTATTGAATACACATAAGCTTTATTTAACCAGTTCCGCGTCAGTCAGTATGGTAACTCCCTAAGTCACCCTGCCTACGTACTGCTTCAACGTTAATACAAAATCTAAAATGGCAACAGGCAGATGCTGTTGAATAACTTATAGCAGTATGCTTATTTTAAGTGGTCGGCAACCAGAGATACTATGTTAACTATACGTATTGCTATACAATAATCTAAAGACACTATCGCTATTTCAGTCACAGACAAGGCTTACTGTAACTATTTCATCTATGTATATTAATATTATTAAGAGGAAGGTTGTTTCGAGGCATTTCAGTATATATCTAACTTGGAAAATTCAATACTTTGCACTGTTGGATGGATAATAACTTACTTTGAAACACAGGTTATTATGTATTAAGGCTAACAACATGCAATGACTTTAAAAAAATGTTACTAAGAAAAATTGTCGCTTTAATGATTAACAATTTGTGGAACAATATATGTTTTAGAAATTTAGTGCAAATGTAGTTGTGAGCAGCATTTTTATTATAGATTGAATTATTACTACAATTTTTCACTGTCATTTCAACAAGTAAAATGTTCAACTCAAATTACATAGACCTGTGCTAAGTGACGTTATATGTATGTGGATACAATACAAAAATAAAATCAAAATGTCTGCCGCAACCAAAGTGACAATGTATAGATTTTGAAGTAAACGACTACAATCATCTTCATATTGGTACAAATGATTTTAACACTACATTTATTGCTTCACACAACATTAGCATTTTAACTTATGGGTTGAAGTTGTTTCCTTTCATGTATGAAATAGGTATTTGTAGTTTCATAAATTATTGACATAATAACGTGAAAATGTTTTACTTGTATTACATTACTAATTTTATTGCTTTCATTATTACGGAACCTCAGCCCAAATCTCATACTAAACACCTATAAGGTATATATAGGCATTATTGTAAAAAATTATAATTATATTAAATAGCAAAATCACAACAGACAATTTAAGAAATGAGGTGGTCCAAAAATAGCAATATTTTTACACGAAGATTAAAAATTGAGTGAAACCTAAACATGAACATTTTGAATGCACATAAATCTAAACTAAAATAAACAAAGTTATACTCATCAGAGAGGCTTGAGTGAAAATGATAACTTAGGTCTTGAGTTGTTTTTGCCTAAGATTTTCTTCTGTTCTTCTTTTAACCTTTTTTCCTGCTCTTTTTTGAGTTTTTGTCTTTCTTCATCCATTTTTCTTTGTTCTTCTATCATCGCCAACCTCTCCTCAGCCTATAAATGAGATGTTTAATATCAATAAAGTGACTTGCGGAGACATGGAGCTTAGCAATATGTCACTAACTACATTATGAAGATCACTATGATATCATTACATTTTATTTTAAATCTATTTTTTTTTGAGGCTTTAGCCACCTCAAAATATCAGATCACTATGAGACCAACAAAACACCAGTAAAGTATATTGACACTGGAAAGGTAAAACGCGTAAAATGTATTTGGAAAATATTATAGGAATGTGATTTAAAGCAATTTTTTTAAGAAAAAAAATCGTATTTCTAATTTTATTTAAATTTTTATTGAATTGATATTCAATTATTTTATGTGAAATTACTCCACTAGTTTGTTATAATTATTAATACAAGATCGCACACTCAGAAAAAATTCCTTTGATCCGGCCGGATGATTCGAACCGACGTTTTCTATATCAACTAAGCCACGGAACGATGCAGAGGACCTCACGAATTTTTGTATGAGCTTGTGTCGTATCTTTGTATTTGGTTTTTCAACGGCTTTTTAGCCGTAGCGCCATCTATGAGAAATTCCATGATATTTTGTCACTCAGTTAGATACCTTTACAGCTTCCAGACCCGGCGAGACAATTTATTCTAATTTTATTTGTTATGTGGAAAACGTAAAAAGGCAGGTTTTCCACATACCAAATAAAATTGCATGTCAGATGTTTTACCTTTCCATTGTCAATATAAAGTGACTAGTCTATGGATAGCAATGTGATTTTGGAAGAAATATAAATACTCACCAATTTGCGCTGAGCCTCTTCTATCTTTTTATTATTTTCAGCCATGATTTCCTCCAACTCTTTCCTTTTACGAGCTTCTTCCTCCTGTTTAAAAAAAATAATGTTAATACTGTTCTAAGCAAACGATAAGAGTCAACAACAAAATTGTGACAACATTATAATATTCCTAGGACTAGTTTGCTCTTATTACACAACTACAGTGAGCCGGTAAAGAGATACTTCCAAGTTGCACAAATGTAACATGAAGGTCTTTCAAATGAGTATAATATATAGTTGTTTTAAATATTATCCATCATGGTTCTCCTAAAGAAATATTAAATCTCCAACAGTATTTCCAAGTGCACAGTTGATTGATCATATGTATAGTCCAGTTGAAATAGAAAATTACTGCTATACAAAAAAATGTTCAAAAAATACCTTCATCATCACGACTGGATCCTCAAGCTGCATCTCCATAAAATTCTTACGGCTTCAGGCTCTTGATCAGTCTTCTGACCTGACTTATAGACTACGTGACTGCCAAGGACAGTCAAGTGAACAATTTTAAAATGCTAGTTGGTCGCCTTCAGGGCGGACTTACATAAGTTGGATCATGGCATACTGCCCGGCAGGTGCATGTGACGTGCAAAGTTACATAATGAAATGTAGAGTTAACTAAGAGATAGTCAGCTTTAAGAAGTAACAACAAAAAAGAATTTATGAAAAATTCTTGTAAGCACTCCAACTACACCTGACTGCACCTTTAACAGATATGATCGAAATAATATTTTTATTAGTGTCTCTCGTATATAATGTTGGTATACAAGATATTGAATTTACACATACTGTTGATTAGCTGCAAAAACAAAAACTGTTTTGCAGGGTGGTGTCATGTATAAAAGCAATAAGTAATGGATTGCTGTTACACATGACTGGCGGCCAGAAAGAACAGTTACCTGTCTTGCTTGCTCCTCTCTCCGTTGCTGCTCCCTCTGTCTCTCCAGCTCTTCCATCATTTCCTTTTCCATCTTCCTCTTGGCTTCTTCAACTCGCTTCGCAACCTCTTGCTCAATCTCATCCTTACGTTTTTCCAATTCCTCTTCCACTCGCTTCTTAACAAGCAACTCTATCCTTTTTGCTGCTTCTTCTTCAACAACCTACCAATGAGTAACATGTAATGTAAAGTGTTCTAGAGGTTTAGCTTTTATTATATATAGAATATTTTTCAAACAAACCAATATTTTGTGCTCTTTACGGATGCCATGGTCATGGCTGACTCCCTTTTGTTTATAGCAGTTCTTACATAGGTACTTAAGTCAAACAATTACCTTTTGTTCAGCCTCGCGTACTCTCCTCTGTCTTTCCATTTCTGCTAAACGGTCAACTTCGTCCATTTTACTACGTCCTTTGGACTTCTTTCTGTGACTCCTACTACCATCATAAGAGGCGTCACTACTACTAGAAGACGACACTGAATGGGAGCGTTTTCTGAGAAAAATACCACGACACGAATTCAGGTAAAGCATTTCTTACCACAGCAAATATTGTACAACAACAATGTTGTGAACTGTACCTGGATTTAGAACTGCGTTCCCTGGATTTTTCGGCATGTTTAGAACTCCTACTACGCGATGATGAACGATCCTTCGATCGGCTTTTTTTCCGTGAATGTTTGCTGCTTTTGTGATGTCGTCTAGGAGACTTACTCAGTGATCTAGAGCGACCCATCTTTAATTATCACTTATTCTAGGTAGAAAATACGTTTATGAACAAAATAATTCTATGTTCTGTTCACCAAGTTCATGACATGTTGATTTGACAGAGACGAGATGGGAGGGAGGGAGAGACAGAAAGCAAGATATCTTTATTTCATGGCTTGGCGACAGAGCTATTAAGACACGTACGCTATATACCACACACACTGGAGAACATAATAGCACACGTAAATTGCATTGAGTAGAGTTCTGGAATACGACCCCATATGAACTAAATTATTTTTACAAAAATGTTTAACTGGAAGTGAGAAGGTATTAACAATATTTCTGAAAATAAGTATGTCGGTAATACTATAGAACGTAGGTATGTGTATCCGCACATGAGCCGTATTGTTCTGTTGTACAATATTTCTGCAACTAACTTCAGGTTGAATATTCCAGTTTTAGCGGGAAAAAATTAAACTCCAGGAAAGTAGAACGACAGCATAGCGCCACACAAAAAATGCATACGTAAAGTTGTCTTCGTCTGTTTTAACGAATACTTTACAAATGTGACCCGCTACCGTTTGTTAAATTAAACCAAGGCCAACATGATCAAAAATTCAACAGTTTTATTTGTCAACGATGACTATTATTTTTGGGTTTTTAATATATCATAGATAATATTTTAATTTCGCTGTGTATATTCTTCTCAAGCTACTGTTCAATCGATACCGACGACAATTTGTCAATCGATATACCGACGTAGAATTTCAAACTAAAAAATACGATCGAAAAAGGCTGAGTGCAACAAACACAACGACAGACGCTTGGGTGTGATGTATCCAGTGGGTTGTATTTTTTCATAATTGAGGGGTATAGAAGGAAAATCGTCTCTGTCCAGTGTCCACAATTTACTTTTTTAAACTATGAATGTCATTTTGTTTGTTGGTCTATTGCTTTAAGGCGGTAATTTCAGTTAGTTGCAGAGACGTATAGATTCTCTGAAAATCGTCCCGAAAAACGGGAGTAAGGCGCAAACTTGACAATGTCCAATTTATATACTATGATTATCTAGAAGGATAATGTTTATAACCTGAATGCATTTGGTAATATATCAACAAGTTGCTAACAAAACACATCGTTGTACATCATATCCGGACATATTTTGAGACTGGGACTAATGTTAATACTGCATATAACATAATGCATAACATCTACAAATTCGTCAAATCCGGTTGATATAAAAAGGATTCGAATTCTAGGGAACCTAATGTAACATTCTTGATAATTTAGGATCCGGTTCAAACTGTTAGACTGCATTACTTTAGGCATGCAGGTATAGTTCTTTATTAGTTGCTCAGGCTCGAATGTGTTTGAGCTTGACTTGAGGTATCTTAAAATACCAGTTTCAATTCTGACCGTCTACAAATATGAAACCAACATCTTTAGGTATGGTGATGTTTCTTAAATCACAATGAAAAAATCAGCGGTATAGTATTTATTTCGGTCGAGGTATTTTAGCGAAAGAATCGATTAAGTATTAAATTTATATTCATTTTCTTTCATTTCTAAAAAATCGAAAATTTTTTTAGTTATTTCTTTGACTGTTTTTTTATTTGGAACAAGATTTATATTTTCTTTAACTTCATTATTTAAAATTTTATATTTTGAATATTTGGTACCACCTTGCGGTGTACCATTAGCTGTACCATTCGATGTACCAGGTAATAATAAATAACCGCTTGGTTTACTGTCGGAGCCGTCGTCTAATTTACTAAACGAAAAAGGAACTTTACACGCCATCGCCGAAGTGCATTTACTAGGAGATTTTTTCAAATCTGAATTCGAATTAGCCGCACTCTTCGACTTGTAACATTTTTTTAACAAGTTAATGGATGATATTGAGGTAGAATTTTGACACTCGCTCACTCTTTTCGAAGTGATGCTGAGATCTGAAGGAATTTTCTCAACTATTAATTCGTCAACTTGTTCAGTATGGTCTTTTTTTACGACGTCTGTGTGTGACTTTTTGTTGCAGGTCTCCTGGTCTAAGTTATCCCAATACTCGTCGCAGTCTGGTACTTTCATAATATCTGATTGATACATGGATTTTAGCCTTCTTAGCATTTTATTTATATCTCGTTGATCATTAATATGTGAGGTATAAGAGCTACCTTCCACTTCTATCTTCCCTGTATAGAAATAGTCAAGCGGTAATTGAACTCCAATAACTTCTAATTCGTTCATACCATAGCGAACAGGCGTTAGTGTTGGTGTGCGATATAAGCATTCAAATTTTCCAGTCGACGCTCGTGGGTTGCAAGCATAATCGATTACAACTGAGAAAATAAATAATTTGTGTATTGAATTAAGTACATCATCAGGCTGTTTAAGGTCATATAAGCCTTGGTACGTTGCACTGGCCTAATGTGTGTTGGAGACTATACGCTTTTTCCAACGCTTGTGAACTTTCTTTGAAGTAACTGATTTGCCAGTTTTTTTAAATAATACCAAGTGACGGGACGAACAAGTCGTGCGCATGGTGGTAAGCGACACACCTATGTTATAACAGATACAGTGCCACTCAGAACTTTAAATTTAAAGCTCAGCAAAGATCTTAGGGGCACTGCAACTGCGCCCGTCATCCTAAGACATAAATTGACAGGCCGTTATGCCTGCAAGTTCCAAACCGGAACGCAGTAATGCTCACATTACTGCTTAGCGGTAGAAATTGAACACTCAAAATACAAAACTATAAATACTAAATAACCGTCTCCGTGGTCGAACGGTTAGGGCGCGTCCCCACTATGTCGTGACGACAGATTGTCGTGCAGTTTGTCGTGGCTTGTATATTTAAATGAAGTTGTTCACATATAGCACGACACGATTAACTGTCGTTCACGATTTTTTATCGTTAAAACGACAAAGGGCGCGTTCCCACTATGTCGTGACGACAGATTGTCGTGTAGTTTACAATTTGGTGGCTTGCATATTTAAATGAAGTCGTTCACATATAACACGACACGATTAACTGTCGTTCACGATTTTTTATCGTTACAACGACAAACTGTCCTCACAGTGGGAACAGCTAGAACGACGGTCGTCAAGACGATAAAAAAACGTCGCGATAAAAACGTGACGACAGATTGTCGCAACTCCTATTGCCGTCACGTTTTATTTATCGCTGCCGCACGTATTCTGCTCCCTGCCCTCCCCTCTCGTACCCCGCGCCCTCTGCTCGCTTTGCAGTAGCGTTGGGTCGTAGCCAGAGATGGGCAAGCGCTCGGGGTTTAACCCGGGACTTTGTTAACGCCGGGTTTAAATCGGGTTAAAACCCGAAATCGAGGGCAGAAACTATTACCGTCTAAATATTTGCAGTGAATTGAGTTTTGTTCAAATTTAATTATACATATTATTACAAAATATTTGTTGCTTTATTATCAGGACAGTTCGATTTACCTTTCTATTGAATAGATTCGCTTGAAAAGTTCATCAATAAACTGATACAAAAAATCGTTAGATCGTATGTACTTGAATCGATCTTCATTGAGAATCCACAGGATTGACAGGTGGTTAATATTACGTGGAGATGCCCCTTCTTCGTATAATAAAAATATAGAAATTTGTTACAAGTTCTTGTATATTATGTTGTTAGTGTTGGAATTATATCAAATTCCGTACTCTTCCTTTCTGCCCACGATTTAGGGCAGAAATGGGTTAAAACTCTGCGCTTCGGGTAAAACCCTGGTGAAAACACGGGCGGTTTGATTGGATTTTAACCCACTGCCCATCTCTGGTCGTAGTAGGTTAGAAAATAAAGGCCGAAAAGAAAGCAACTTCGTATACCGTTTGACATAACCCTAATGGAATTCTTTTTAGTAGCATTGGATGCACCCAAAACTTTCTTTTCTTTGTTTGCTTCCTCTTCCGCATTTTTAAAAAGTAATACATTATTAAAATTTCGTTTTCATCCATTTCGAGCGAACACACACTACCGGCTTCCAAGAGAACATACAAGCGACTGCAGTGCATCAAACGATTCTGTCGTGCAAACGATAAAATGTCGTCACGACCTAGTGGGAACAGCTAGTCACGACAGCCGTTCAGCGATAAAAAATCGTCCACGAAAAATAGTCGTGATATGGGAACAGGCTAGATACGACAGTCGTCCAACGATAATAAAACGTGACGACATAGTGCGAACGCGCCCTTACCATGCCACTGACGGACGGACTGCCACGCAGAGGTCTCAGGTTCGATTCCCGGGCCTGGAGAAACATTTGTATGGCTTACATTTATTTCTCTCGTGCGTTTGGGTGTAATTTGTGTTTGTCTATGTGTGTGTCCATGGCACCCGAGACACAGGGTTTCCCTAGTGCGGGGCTATGTTGATTGTGTGCTTTAAAAAAAACTCTTGTACATAGAGCTCCACCGTTACTAAATTATTTAAAAAGGTATTCTAAAAGCCCACCTCTCAATTAATAAGCAGCCATTCTCACATTAAGCTACCACCTCTCTAATTTATTTATATTTATATTTCGTTCATGTGGTGCTAGATTGACGTAATTGTCATTTTGGCAAAATTTAATTATGTATACCAATTAAATGTACCATGCAATCGTACTATTTACGAGCAAGTGTGATAAAATCCACTTGCTCGTAAATAGTATGATTGCATGATGGCTAAACAGACTACGTCGAGTAATTAACCAGAAATAGAGACTAAATGTCATGAAATTTGTTTGAAAATTATTCTGCCGCATCATTACTATGACAACTGTGCGCTCCGATTAGCCAGCTCAAATTCGAAACAATTGACGGGTTGTCGTCAATTGTTTCGCTTCAAATCGTCCAGTTGAACTTGAGCTTTGCTATAATGGACGAAAAAACTACATGTTTAATATTTAATTACCGATGAAATGTGATTCTGTTTGTTTTGTAATTAGATATTTTGCTGTTTCCTACACCACCGAATGGAACAGCCACCCCATTGAGATATTATCTTTTATTACAATAAATACAGAATTTTTTGGCATATACCTACCCTTATACGGAGACGTATCCACAGGTCAGTTGTTGGCGATGTATACTATTTCAACATTTCAATTATCTAATTGTGATTGCAGTGCAAATGAGAAATGATATTTAAAAGTGATGTAAGGCACATTTGTCGGATGAGTTGCTAGGGATAGATGGCCCTTATTTCGTTTCTATTTCTGGTTATATACTGGATGCCTGACTATATGTCCCAAATAAAACCATCGGACCTTTTTCTTCCCATTACAGCCATAGTCGGTAAGGAGTATTTTTTTTAATTTGTGCCACGACATACTTCCTTAAATTAAGCCTTTATGCGTTGCTTTTTACAACATTTTAGTTCGAGTTGTAATAACTGTGGAAGAATAGCTAGCTGGCCATCTACTGATAAAAAAAAAAACAAAAAACCCGCCATAATTGCAAAATTTACAATTGTTGTGTTGTGAACCTTATTTATCCATACAAGAAATAAACATTGTATTTATTTCCTCGGAAATGTGGTGAAAAACATTTATGTATCGCGAACGGTAAAAAAATACCAAACTCGAGCTATCAAAGCCTTCGGCGCCGGGCGTCAAATAGACCATCGATAATAATTTTCTTATTTACCGTCCATATTATACAAAGATTATACAATGTACCAATACATCATTACACATCTGCAACATATCAAGCGTTTACGTTTGAAGAAAAATCGGCGGTAATTTTAGATTTATATAATATATTGCAAAAATACAAAGTTTTACACGTAACAAACTTTTTTGACACGTAATGAAATAAAATTTAAAAAATCAATTCAAATCTCAAATCCATTTCCTATAGATAACATTACAAGAAGTACAATTGCGTAAATATAGTGCCAAATGAGCGATTTGTATTTACTATACTTGCAATAAACGATATTCTATTCTATTTTTTGTTTCCCTAGTGCGGGGCTATGTTGATTGTGAGCGTTATTATTATTATTATTATTTATTATTATTTTATTCGATTCTACAAATTACGGCATTCGGAGCTTATTTTTGCATTCAGACCGTCGTATTGTGACGGGCAAAAATTGGAATTTTCGATTTTTACAAACCATTACGCGACGTATACGTCGTCACCGTCGAATGTGAACTTTTTAGTATAGAATTACTAGAAAAAATTGTCTTTATTTTGTATTTAAAAAGAGTCTAGGAATTATGTTTTATGCGTTAATTGTCCGTTATTGCATGTGAAGGTATTTCGTTCAAAAACTAAACACTCGTATTTATGAACAAAATAAAAGTCGCACTTAAAAAAAATCACTAAAATCGATTTGAGTGAAATTTTTGCTTATGTGCGACTTGGTGTTGTTTGATATTTATGAACATGTTTCCGCTCGCTCTTATACAAGGTCAGTCTCAAGTTTCACTTTGAAGCTGGTAGCCAATGCCGTCGTCCGCTAACGCGGCTAAGTGACATGGTCAAACATTTGTTATAAATAGCAATAGATAGATAACAAAATTCTCTTTTAAAAACAGTTAAAACAGTTAAAATTAGTTAATGTGTTCGATTTATCGGAACTTACCCTATTGATACATAGCTGAAATATCATTAAACAATTTCAATATTCTAAAACTGGATTATGGTTTTTTAAGATATCTCAAAAAAATATTTTGTCACTTCGCCGCGTTATAATTAGCGGACGGCAGAAAGACAGTACCTACTTGCTTCTTCAAAAATTAAAAGCGGCAATTTTTGAAAATTGTTTTCTAGTCTGTGGACTTTTGTTTGTGTTGGTTAACAAACAGACTATTAATTACCTTTGCCTTTTGTTCAGCGGAAAGAATTAAGAAATTCATCAAACTGTTTTGACCTAGCGGCGGCCGCGCGAAAAATTTCGCCTCGTTAATTAATATGGCTGAACTTACAGTACTGAAAAAATGAAAAACATGAAGATGAAAATCAATGAAGATTAGAGTTATCTCTTTCTGTTTTATTTTATCAGTTGCTGTCCATACACTAAACGACTTTTTTCTACAATTATTTATTACAATGTGTTCAACTGTTTGTTGAAATAATTGAAGTATGAAACTTCTTGGGTTCTCACCAAGTAAGTTCAAAAACAGACAAGGTAGGTTCCATTGCATTTTTCTGAATCTATGTGAAATGAAAAACCAAAACAAGTCGATAGCAGTAAACAAAACCGGTGTTTATCTGACTGGAGATGTTCCTTTGTAGCTAGGTACATAATTGGGTTCTTAAAAACCTATAACTTTTGATATTTATTTTTTCATTATTGATACAAGGATTTATAGAAGTATTTTGACATTGTGAACTATTTAGAAAAAGTATCAAGAATATTAGCCTCGTAATGCAGTTTACCCCACAGTGGTACTTGAATCTTTTACAATATTCATAAATATCAAATAGTTCGTACTTTGTATTACTTTCCTACTTAATGAGAAGAATACACATCAAATTTTCATACCTGTATCGACTGAAAACCTGTTCGTAATCCAGTACTTCCAAGATATTGCCAGGATTCCTGAGATATTTTTTAGGTGCTCTTACAACACGGTAATCATGTTCGTTCTCCAAATTAGCCATGAAGGCCTCAAAGTCGTCAATTTTTAAAATAATTTAATACAGATTTATAAACAAAAAATAAAGGTAAAACGTAAAATAAAAAAAAAGGTCAGAGCAACTCAAGAGAAAACGCAAATAATAGTGATTTTTATGTTAAAATATTTCCAAGTCAAACTTAAGACAGCTAAAGACTGGTTTTATACAAGTGCGACTTAACTCGATCCTCAGACCGAGTTAAGATTAAGCTAAGACTTAAAAATCATTCATAAATACTAATTATTGACTTGAGTTGTACTTGAGACTTTTAATGCTTATCTTTGTTCATAAATACGGGTGTTTGTTACGAGGTTCTCAAATTTAGCCGAAGGCATGCATAAATCCGAATAATAAATATAATAAAATAACGATTTCAAGTTATAATGGGCGTTATTACAATAACACACCTCCAGTGAGACAGTGATTTAACTAACATTTCGATGCCTTACTTTCTCGAACAGAGTGATTGTTCAGATGGCAAAACTTTCTGTTAATTTGAAATTTCTTATCAAGGCTGTTAATTTGGATGCATTACTTTAAGAATAAGTAAAAGCCAAAATGTCAGTGTGTGAATATGAAGAAAATGTGATGTGAAATCGGCCTGCAAAATGTGTATATATGTATGTACAATCCACTTTTTGCACTTCAGTAACGAGTTTGAGAAAGTAAGGCAACGATTTTTTTAAATTTACGGAAAACGACTTAAGTTTTATTTTTTGTTTTTGGTGTTTTCTCTGATTTTGCTACTGAAGACAATTTACATCACTATTTCAATAGGCATTTTATCCTCTATGAAATAATGAAAGAATGCATGATGTATAATACAGGGCGTCCCAAAACTCAACGTCAAGCGGTCACTGGGCGAGAGGCCAGGTTATATCAGTTCTGGTAAAAAAAAATCGTAAAATAAGTGATAATAGGCATTTTTTTTGAAAATGTTGAAAATCGATACCCTAGACCACATGTTTAGGTACTGTCATCACAAATTTTCAAATTTTGGAGTGATTTCTTTTTAACGTCATCATAAATAACCATGCTATTTATTGCAGTCATAAATCAAACAATAAACGTTATGAGTTTAGTAAAAAAAAATAAGTTTCATTGAGTCGTAGCTTAAAAAAAATATGTCAGCTAGCTTTGACACTTCATATTTTTAAAAAAATGTGCTACACTACCCTGGGCAAGTTATTTTAAAAGATGGCCCATATAATCAAGATTTCAAAATGGTACAATACTTGCCACTCTTCATTCCATAAAAAATATTATAACTTATTTTTTGCAAAAGGAGCTCGTTTCAAAAAAAACTCATGCCATGATAAATAATACTTTTGTGTGCTCAAAGATTGGCTTTAGCATCGCGGAAGTGAGATGGTCATATGTGATAGAGTGAGATGGATAGTGACGCTGTGCGACATGAATTAGAGTGAGCGAGACGGATAGTGACGCCGATGCTCTATTATTGATCATTGGTTATTATCATTTAGTATGCTACGTTCCTTCGTTTACTGTGCATCTTCTCGTAATCGTGTAACTTTTGTACTGACGACTTTGGCTTGTGCTACCCTGGACTTGATATTGCATCTGTGTTGATGACTCTGGCTTATTACCTGGACTCGATTTGTGTTGTGTAAACTGTATTAGTTAGTACTTAGCAAAACTAGCACGTTTCGCGACATGTCGTATCTGTACACAGCGGAAGAATATGCGAACATGCATCTTATTTACGGTGAATGCCATTGCTAATGCCTCTGCCGCAGCCAGATTGTATCGCGAGAGGTACCCAAACTTAGAGCGTCACCCAGATCACTGTATGTTCGTCAATGTACACCTGGCATACTCGGAAGGACGATTGCCTAGAGCTCGTACGAGCGGTGGAAGACCTCAAGGAGACGACGACGACGTAATTTTAGAAGAAATTCGAAATGATCCCAGCACTTCAGTACATGCGATTGAAAGAGCCACTGGAATACCGAAAAGTATTGCTCATCGAATTTTAAAGCAACACGAATATCACCCGTATCAAGTGCAACGTGAACAAAGTTTATTACCTCGTGACTACTCTCTCACATTGGATTTTTGTAGAACAATGTTGGCGAGAAATCGTGAAGATCCGCAATTTATAAACAAAATTTTATGGATTAACGAAACAACATTTAAAAAAGATGGTTATTTAAACTTGCACAATGTACATGGCTGGCACACGGAAAACGCATTTAATGCGTGAAGACCGGTCCCAATACCAATTCAAAGTCAACATGTGGACCGGAATTTTAAATGGACAAATAATTGGACCGTTTGAGTTGCCTGAAACATTAAATGGCGACAACTACTTAGATTTTCTTCAAAACGATTTGCAAACGTTACTAGAAAATGTACCACTCAACATCTATAGAGAAATGTGGTTTCAACAAGACGGTTGCCCAGCGCATTATGCTCGTTCTGTACGTGATTATTTAAACACGGAATATTCCGGAAGGTGGATGGGCGCCTTGGTTCAATTTTGTGGCCTCCTCGTTCTCCGGACCTAAACCCCCTTGATTTTTTTTACTGGGGCTGCATAAAGGAAAAAATATATGCAAAACCTATAGAAAGAAATTAGTTTGAGAAGATTCGCACGATTGATAAAAAGATCTTTTGTGAGGCGATGCAGAGCCTGTATTCGTGCCGAAGGCAAACAATTTGAGCATTTACTTTAACATTAAAGTATTACAATAGTTCCTTTCGTTTCATTTTGATTAAAATTTATTATAATACAACAATCGACTAATTATTAAGTTGACACACTCACATGTGTTAGGGTAGATTATTTTGTTTAATGCGTTGTCACTATCCATCTCACTCTATCACATATGACCATCTCACTTCCGCGATGTTAAAGCCAATCTTTGAGCACACAAAAGTATTATTTATCATGGCATGAGTTTTTTTTGAAACGAGCTCCTTTTGAAAAAAATAAGTTTTAATATTTTTTATGGAATGAAGAGTGGCAAGTATTGTACCATTTTGAAATCTTGATTATATGGGCCATCTTTTAAAATAACTTGCCCAGGGTAGTGTAGCACATTTAAAAAAAAAATGAAGTGTCAAAGCTAGCTGACATATTTTTTTTAAGCTACGACTCAATGAAACTTATTTTTTTTTACTAAACTCATAACGTTTATTGTTTGATTTGTGACTGCAATAAATAGCATGGTTATTTACGTTAAAAAGAAATCACTCCAAAATTTGAAAATTTGTGATGACAGTACCTAAACATGTGGTCTAGGGTATCGATTTTCAACATTTTCAAAAAAATGCCTATTATCACTTAACTAAGTGACATGGATTTTTTTTTACCAGAACTGATATAACCTGGCCTCTCGCCCAGTGACCGCTTGACGTTGAGTTTTGGGACGGGTGTATATATCTGTTTTTTGCGCATAAATTTTATTGTTAAGACATTTTCACATTTTTGCAGTTATGTCTGTGTTTCACCGGAGTTCCGACATGTGGGCTGTTTTATTCACAGTTTCGATGTAGGTCCTAAGTTCAGATCGCAACAGAATTCCATACCGACCAAGGTGGTACTACTTTGGTGCGTCAGAGTTGTGTCCGTTACGAAGGAAAGGGAAGGATCGTTGACAGTTTTGCTGTAAACGCGCACAACTGTCATTAATTCAACAATTTTTTTTCAATTTTCAAAGAATATCAAAATCCCAACAATAACAATGCTAGAATCGCTAGTTTAATGAGCACTTTCATCTGCACGGCTGTTAAATTGTTAAGTGTACAGGGAGGTTTGATTATCATTCATACCCGCCACGTACTTTGATTTGAGTTTACGTTACGCGTTATTGTTATACTTAGCGACGAAATCTTGTATGTCGAAATCCACAAAACTCTTCTTTAGGTCATGCGTAAGTCCCATTTAATACGGCCCAGATCGGGTCAGTGGTTTGTGTATGGTGTGATTAAGTAAGTAGATAGTCAAACGGAACAAGGGTATAATGTAAGTAAGGTACCTATTTGTATTTGTTATAGGTCACAAAAGATAAGTGTTTTTACCTTTGATAATATCTTCTATGACTTCTGGACAGATCTTTGCCGTTACTTGAGTCGTGGGATTCAAATCAGGACCTTGGTTAATTTCAATTAACCAAGGTCGATAGTCTTTATCAAGTATGAAGTCACAACCGTATAATTCAAAACAATTTTTCGATGGGGACAAAGAGTCTTGGTAAGTTAACATAATTCCAACTATTGCTTTCTTCATGGCAGGGTATGTTAAATGGTCCCAAACCAATTCTTTTCCGATCTTATTTAAGTATTTTTTGTATGTATCTAAATCCCACATGTTATGTTGTGGAAGATCATTGTGTCGTTCATTACAATTTTTATACTTTTTTTGAACTGCGTTGTTGGTAAGATGTATGGACTCGTGAAAGTTACCGAGATTGTACTTTTGTGAACTAAACTTTAAATAACAATCCCTGTACATCCATATTACTAATGGACATGTGCTTGTAATTAGATAGTATTGTCTTATATCAAATTTTGTTTCATGAATCAACAACGGATCCTCTGAAAAACATATGACAGAAGATAGATATCAAAACATTTTACGCTAGTAGGAAACTTAAACATATCAAATATATTTTCTTACCAATGTACTTTTGAACAACGTATTTAGAGCATCCTCTATTGATCATATCAGTTATTTCATTTAATTTTGAGGCCAATTTAATACCTCTACCCCTAGAGCAATGTGTTGGTTTAACAATCCAAATATTGTGAGAACCTTCGCAGCTTAGTTGCGGTCGGTATTTGTGAATTTCTCTCAGCAATAATTTTGCATAGTCAATATAAAGAGGTAGTTTTTGGTCTACATCTGTATGAAATACGTCATTGTTGCTTATTAAAATATAATATTTCTTTAAAAACGAGTTCCATTGCCCCGCTGTAGCTGTGCTATATATTTCCCTATCGATATCTCTATTTTGTTTCTCATACAAGTATTCTTTACACCGATTTAAGGCAAAAACCATTACATTCATAGAAATTTTTCCTGCATCCGTAAAAATGGGTCTATTATTTGCCACCATTGAAACAGTCCATTTTAACAAGCTAGTGCAAGCAGTCAGTTTGTAATCTTTTATGAAATCTGCTTTCTCATCGTCATTAGTATTGCTGTACGTCCTGGGTGTATCAAATTCCGCCACGTCTTCTATGTAATACCAGTAACTTTCTTTCAAAGAGTTGCACAAACCTTGCTTGGTGGTCCACAACGTTTCGACTACTAGTTTATTCATAAGTGGGGTAGAAACATTTGTGGTTTCTTTAGCATAGACATTATGTTTTTTTGAAAGATCGTTAATGTTTCCTGATGTACCCCAAATAAAATTTGCAGCTTGTCGTTCAACCATATTTGACAAAAGAAATCGCTCTAATTCCTCGTTAATCTCGGATTTTGAATTAAGCTTATTTTCTCTAATTTTTGAAAGATTCATGCGATTAGGTGGTATTTTTTCGACCCAGCCCCGTTTAGTTAAAGCTGTCCTTACTGTGTTCGCTTTCCCGTAAATCGTAAATATTTTTTTAAATTTCATAGCTTCGAGAGCTCTTGTCTTGAGTCCAATGTAACGCGTGGTTTTCGATTGACAGCTACATATTATGAAGCTTCTTTCTTTGGGAGAAAGCCCATTTCGAGGAATGATGAAAGGACTTTTCGGCATCGTTTTAACAATTTGTTTCGGTCGGTCTACATTGAATTTGTTGAAGGGAGAATATATTCTTTTGATTCCCCCGATGTCATGGTTTTTTACTCCACCAGTATCATAATTCTTTACGACTTTCTGTAATGAAAAAAACTTCAATTACATTTAAGCTTGAATTTTACTTACCTATTTGATTCAATATTCCTGTCGCAACGTACCTTTTTGCTGGATGTTTTTGGTACAGTTATGCAACGTGACGTATTTTTCTGTGAAAAAAATCAATTGTCAATAGGTATTCAAGAAAAACAAACTGCCTCTGTGGCCGACCGGTTACCATACTGGACGTTAGTTACGCAGAGGTCCCGAGACGTTCGATTCCCAGGCCGGGATAAATATTTGTATGGCCTACATTTTAATTATCTCGTGAGTTTGGGTGTAATTTGTGGTTGTGTATGTGTATGTCCATGGCATCCGCGATACAGGGTTTCCCATAGTGTGGGGCTATGAGTGTGTGCGTTATTATTATTATTAAAAAAGTTTCTCTGTGTTGTGGTTAGCTTACTTTTTCGCAGGCTTCATGCGTCCATGTTTTATAAGAACCCTCTGTTTTTGCATAAGAATCTTCGTGGCAGGTACAAGTATTAAAGCCGTTAACACCATTACTGACTTCAATATCACCTTTTTTTTGTTTTACTTGAAATTTCTGATGAAATATATTCCACGTAATTTAATTAAGTACTTGTAAACTATCACAATTTAGTAATTATTTTAATAAGACTTTACCTTTTTTATCTTCAATGCTCGTTTTTTACGAATCGGCATGTCATTGGTAGTAACGGATCATTTTGCAAAATTCACTTTGTAAATTAAAAAAAACACTTAAAATAAATATTTTACCAATGGGTACATATGATAAGTTTGTCTAATAAATGAAATAGCTTACCTCTTTTTTTGTAAGTACCATAGTCACAGTTTTGCAACAATGGTAAGTGTATTTAATAATTCTCTACTTAGTTTACATTATTTGGAAATCACGATAATTTAGATACATGCATACATGCATGATTGTCACAAGTCGGCTGTCACATAACAATATATTTGTCACAAATCTGACACGCGCTCGACGCGTTTCGCAATAACCGTCATGATTTAAAAAAGTTTTAAAAAAAGGTCTGTATAAATATTTTATATCAAAAAAATTGTATACTTAAAAAGAATATAGGTAAAATGTAATTCCAAATGGGTTTATAGCTTAGAGCTACTGCATGATTCACAGGTATCCAAGGAATATAAGGATTAAAGGGCACCGTGGTTGGGCAGGATCTGAAATAAAAGTACATTAAATCAGCAACTTTTAACACGATTTAATGAGTGATTTAATAAAATTTGAAGGAGTTAACAGCTTAATGCTAGTGAATAAACTACGTTAAGTTAGTTTGATACAGGGTGATTTTCGAAGGTTTTTAGTTAAAATCATGAGCAGAATGAACTGTGTATGTTTTAGTTTCGTACCTACACTGTCACTTATACCCTGTAAGTCGATTGAAGGAAAAATTTTTAATTTACAATTATGAATTATTAAATAAGAGTACGTACACCTAGACTAGGTATAGCTTTATTTAGTAACCTATTGCTATAAGGGCCGATACATCACCAATGATGTAGCGATTTCTCAAAGTCGATATTAAGGAATTGGAAGACGCCACATTGATGTATCAGCAGCCTAAATGCGAAGAGTGCCAGCACAAACAAGTATATTATTTTATTAACAATTTTGAACACCGTTGTTTGAACAATTTTCGAAATTCGAAATGGTTACGACTAAAAATCGAAATACTAAGTTTAATCATTGAAAGGTGTAACTACAACGCGATAAGGCGCATAAATTGAAGTACAACTTTTAGAAAATGTTATACCCTTCTTTGTTTTGTTTTCGTCCCTTAATTTGCATATATTTCGGCCTATAGCACTTAATTTTTTAATAGGATCGTCTATACAATTTTGCAAGGGTCTAACTTCTAACGCAGATTTATGGTTTGAATTACTGAGACTAGATTTGGTCTGTCGCATAGGTATAACAATTTCTGGCCTATTTATGCTCTTATTCTGGACTGATATAGTGGAACGGAGAATACTGGCAGTTTCTCTTTCCCACTCAATAGGGTCAATATAGCAACGTTTATTACCGACCGATCTGTCAAGCTTTGGCTTATCAGTTTTGTAAGCTGATTCCGTCCGGTATTTTCCAGTATGATTGACGGACTGGTTCTCGTCTGGACGACAACAGGAATGAGAAACGATATGACGATTACGCTCTAAATTTTTTTCTCGCCTTCCTCGGTGCTGCTTCCTAGAAGAGAGCGCGGATGATTTACGTTTCTTGGGCCCACTTTTAAGTAGAAGACCTGATTTGACGACGGTCATTGCTTGGCGTACCGTGAGCGATTCCTTAGGTCCTATTACGAGACCATCCTTATTCATCGGCAAAGCGTCATACGGATTTAACCACGACAAAAAATCTGTGATAATAGGGCCACTGTATTCGGGTGGAACCGAATGATTTTGTATGGGAGCAATTGAATCTCCAGATGGGACCCGAGGTGCAATTGGAGTTATAGCTCTTGATTCATGTTTTATCACTCTGGTCTTCTTTAAAAGTTTTTTACCATTAACGCACAGAGATAAACCTAGATACGCAGGTGCTTTGGGAATAATTTGCCTGTAGGCTAATTCAAACGTTCCCGTATCAGCATCAGGGCTTGCTCGTCGATCAAGAACAACTGTAAAAAAGTGAAAATAATGATGATATTTAATATAAATATCACGTAGAATAAATGCAAATTGTTAATGTAATTAATTGGAACATTTACCTTTTATAACATCTTCAAGACATTGAGGACAAAGTCTTGCGGTGACGGAAGTTGTGGGAGCCAAATCTGGACTGGAATTGATCTCGATAAGCCAAGGAGTAAAGTCTTCTGTCAGCATAAAGTCAGCGCCATACAGTTCAAAACTGTTCTGTCGTTTATCCATAGTCTCTTGGCAAGCTAACATAGCTCCAATCAGGCATTGTTTTATCCCAGGGTAAATTTTGGTGTCCCACATTTCGTATTTCCCGATCTGTCTTCATAAGAATGGGAAAAATATTTAAGAACAAAAGCCTTATTACGTATCAAGTTTTTTCTACATGTATACTTACTTTAGGTAAGCTTTAAAAGTAATACAGTCCCACATATTCTCATCGGGTAATGCCTTGTCCCTTTCATTGTTGTTTTTGTATCTCGACTGAACAGCGTTATTGGTTAAATGAACAGATTCATGGTAATTCGATAAGCTAAATATTTGAGAGCTAAACCGTAAATAACTATCTCTGTAAGCAACAGATTTTGAATTAGTTAAGTGAAGCAATGATAACGACTAAGATAAGATACACATGTATTTATACTAAGCATAACATCAGAAATTGTTAATCATCTGTAATGGGGCGACTAATTTTTGCTAGACTTCTAAACAATCGTAATGACTAACCACCGGAACCAGTGTTGGCAAATTTTTCAGGGTCACGTACACTCCCGGACGCCTATATGGCTTCCCGTATATAATACGTCCCCCAAGGAGAGACGAGTTCGGTACGCTTTTCAAAGGGTCTAAACAACTAAAATACCGTTACACAGTATGTCCCCTCGAAGTGACGAATTAGATACACACATCAAAAAAAGTTTGCGATCACTTCGAAAAACTGAAATCTTTTTTGTTACTGTAGTATTATATTATGATTTTTTCTTCTTTTTAGATTCTTTATTTAAAAATAAATTAGAACATAAAACAATGACCCCGTTCAATTGTTTTTTCATTGATATAAAAAGGCTTTCAGTCCCAGCTTACGCTCATTCAGAAATCTGATTTAGTCAATTATAAGCGATTCAAGATATTTTTCGCGGAAAGTTGTGATTGAAAAAATGCCAAGAGGATTATCAGAGGTTTTACGAGCTAGAATAGTAACTTTGAGGGAAGAAGGATACACCACGAGAGTAATAGCACGCAGACTTGCTATCTCCCAATCCTGTGTCGTGGCTACGTTGCAGAGGTATCACGGAATGGGGAATTTAGCTGACCGACCCCGCAGCGGTCGCCCAACTGTTTTGACAGCTTCCCGAAAGCGCTATATTAGATTGGTGGCAGCCCGTGATCCAACAATCAACGCCACTAAAATAAAAGCAGAAGTCAGGGCCGCCTCTGGGCTTGAAGTTAGCACGCAGACCGTTCGCAATTGCTTGCACCAGGCTGGATTACGAGCACGGAGGTCTTGGCGAGCTCCGCTCAATTCCCGGCAACGTCAACAACGAAGATTGCAGTGGGCTAGACTTCGGCAAAATGAAGAAGGTGAGGACGAAAACATTTGGCAAAACTGTCTCTTCGTTGACGAATCCCGAATCAGCACTCATCCAGATAACCGACGTGTCCGTGTCTGGAGAAGACCAGGCGACCGTGAAAGACAAAGAACTGCCACTGGAACAGTTCAGCAAGGCGGAAAATCGGTGTCCTTTTGGGGTGGCATTATGATTGGAGCTAGAACGCCTTTGATCCCGTATCGGGGCTTCATGACAGCAGACATGTACAAAACAGTTGCTATTGATGATATCGTCAGACCATTCCGAGTAAACCATGGGCACCAATTTGTACTGGTCGATGATAATGCGCCCGCACATCGAGCTCAACGAGTCAATGCTGCTCTTCAAGAATACGATATCACACGATTAGACTGGCCTGCCGGCTCGCCCGACTTAAACCCAATAGAGCACGCGTGGGATGCTCTTAAACGAGCAGTATGGAACCGTGAGCCACGTCCCCAGACAGTTCCAGAGCTCAGGGAAGCCGCTATTGAAGAATGGGATAGGTTACCCCAGGAAATGCTGGATAACTTGATCCTCAGCATGCCCAGGAGGATCTTCGAATGTATTCGAGTCAGGGGAGGAGTTATTTTATATTGAATTCACACCTTTTAATAATAAATTGTTGTTTAAGTTTAATTAAACAGTCTTTTTCTTTCTATGAAATTTCTATCACTATTACATTATGATTAATGGCTCAATTTTTTAAAATAAATAATAAAAAATAGTTTTATATTTTAATTTCAAACAGGGTATTCCTATTTAAAGAAAGCATACAACATAGATTTTTTCTTGATAAAGTTAAATTTAAAGAATTATAGGAGCTTATGCTATTGATCGCAAACTTTTTTTGATGTGTGTACGCCATTCCAGCTACCACATAAGTTTAAGCGATTGAAAAACCGTATTTGGTAAGTCCTTTAGGGGACGAATTAGATACGGGTTTTCGTAAGAAACACTCGTAAAAAAAGCGTCTCTGATTCGTCATGTCGAGTAATTCGAGAATCAAAAACTCAAAAGCCATACGTAGTTCAAACGAGATTGTCTCTAATTGTTTAAGTAAACAGTGCAAAACGCAAATAATAAACACGGAAGCTATCTCTCTCCGTCTCACCTCACTACCAATAAACACCTCCAAAATAGACAACTCTAAGCTCTAATTAGTTGCATGTTTGGCCAACAACAACAACATGCCAATATCCATGTTTCTAAATAGGCCAGAAATAATAATATCAATAACAACTGATTTCGCGCGAGTGCAGTGACACAGTTCATTTCGATCTTGCATGTATTTTTACGTAAATCGCGGCATAATTTCTAATTTAAATCGTTTGTGTTTGAGTTAAAATTGTTTAAAATGGATGAAGAACGATTTACAGTTCTAGTTAGTAAAATTGTGAGTTGTGATTTGCAATTATTGAAGTATGAAGGAGTGAATGACGAGAATTTCAAAGTGTGTAGTAGACACTTACCATCACTTACTTAATTTCTATAGTATATTTCCTAATAGACAACATTTAATGGATAACATTTAATTTTTGTCTTCGAAAAATTCTTTTAGACTGTAATAGCACTTGTTTTTTCCTAATAAATTTATCTTGTATTTGATAAAAACTGTTTAAATATATGGATATCGATAATATTGATAATGATTAATTTTGTAATTGTATTCCTTTTAACTATTACTACTTATTTTAAAAAAATACAAAAATTCTATATTATGGCAGATATTTTGTTTGAGTAATTACTCGAGACGTGACGAATCAGAGAGCTTTCTTACGAGCGTTTCTTACGAAAAGCCGTACTTAATTAATCCGCTAGTGGACGTACTAAATATGGGTTTTTTATGGCTTAAACTTATACGGTAGATGGAAAGGCGTATCTAATGCGTCGCTTTGAGAAGACACACTGGGTACGGTATTTCAGTTGTTTAGCCCCTTACAAAAGCGTACCTACTTCGTCTCTCCTTTGAGGACGTACTGTATACGGAAAGCCATATACGCCTCCCGGACACGTAAATCGAGCCACCTTTCCTTTTTTATTCTTAAAGGGCTACAGTACAAAAATATTGTTATCACCCAAGAAAAAATTTTAACGATTTTACACATTGAAATTTTCAAGAATTTTTACGGATACGACATCTAGTACTCTAGTTTCAAATTTGCATATAGTTTTTGATCAATCAAACATTGTTTGCACGTTGGCTCGAATTGTGTCGGGGATTGTATTTATCGCAGACGTACATATTTATTTTCGGTTTAGCATTTCACACATAGTATATTAAGACAAGTAGTGTAACTACATACAAACGTTCCAGCGCCGCTTGTGTTCGTGCACGCCCGTCGGCGCCACGTGCCGTGAACGGACGCACAGATTCGTATAATCTCGTGGTGAACTCGAGTTGCACAGTGTGTATAAAAAAATACATCAAATAATAAGAAGGTTATTCAAAAACTTCTCACTAGATGTTACTAGCGGCGACGAATGCCGGAAAAGTCAGTACAAAGATCTATAACAAAAACACATAGGGGAATTTTGACGATTCGGTGACTGGATGCGTGGCTCTGATGGTTAATGCTACGGTGCAACATGGATGTGGGTTTATGTCCCACGGCACAGTGGGTGCAAAAACGAGCTCACCTTTCGTAGGATTTTTCGAAAAATGAAATGTCATTTTCGACAGTGTTAAGTTCTGTGTACAGTTCTGTCAAAGGCATCAAAACATTGAAGAATCTTTAGGTCAAAGTTTTTTTCGTGTTAATGTCATAAAAATACGAGTTCGTACAATTCAAATGTATGAAAATTAAATTTGTTTTCCTCATAACTTTTTTGGTCTTGCACGGTAAGGCTGAAACTTTTGTGTGTTGATACAGAGTCAGTGAGAAAGCCAAGACCTTTGGCCTTGACCCCGGCCGTCCCCGTTCAAAAGATATAAATTAATTAAAAATGCATATTTGGGCGATATTGTCAAAGGGGTAATGTGCCTCAATAATCAGTTTGTGAAAAGTTAGTTTAGCCAATATTGTTACCTAAAAGTCAGCGACTTCATATGACCTTGACCCAGTTCACAAGATATGAATGAATTAAGAATGCATATTTGGGCGATATTGTCAGGGGTTAATGTGCCTCAGGAATCAATTTGTGAAAAATTGGTTTAGCCAGTATTGTTACTTGATAAACAACGAGTCCATCCTTTGACCTTGGCCCCGAACAATTCCGTTCAAAAGATATGAATTAATTAAAAATACATGCTTTTGCATTTTTTAAACTATTGATTTCTTTTGGTCAATTTAATAATTTAATAAATTGATTAACAATTTAATAAATTTATATAGATATTTTTATTTAATATTAATAGAGTATATTTAAGTAATAGAGTATTAAAAAATATCTTTGATCCCTAAACCATACCCAGGGATGATCTCTGTGACACTTCATTTGACGTTTGTAACAGGGTTGAGGTAAGTCGATTGATTTTTCAAGCAATGTTTTTCTCTTATACAGCCTTGTATAATATTACGGAGTGCATGAAGTGTTTTGTATTGCATTGAAGGTATAAAACCCCCAACTAAATTCAAATGCCATTTCAATTAATAATTCAATAAAAAGGAGAGTCATAATGTAGATTTAAAATCTTAATGCCATATCTCTAATTACCTAATAGGTTCAACTCGTGTACGCACTATATATTTACTCATTATCGAAAACTTTTTATCGATGTACCTCATCTCTAGCAAATGCAGTTTAATGAAGTAACATTTGTACGTTGTTGTCGTAAAAATAAATTAATTTTAGAAAAAATAAAAATGTTTCTCTCCTCATTTCTCACTATTTTGGTGTTACTTTACTTTAATTTTATGTATTTGCTTAAACAAAAGCTATTCACTTAAAAGCGAGACTTATAAAAGTAATCTATAAAATACGTAAATTAGTGAAATGAAAAATTTTGTGAAGTGTCACAGGGATCATCCTAGAAAATTTGTAGCATAGACACTTTTGATGTGTCCACAAATAAATAATAATGTGACAACCCTACGTTCCGAGCGAAGTAAAAGCATTGACGGGCCGAATACGCGGTAAATGCACGCTACTTGTCTAATTATACTATGTCCGTAGCTTGTGGCAAACTCGTTCTATCAATGAGTTATATTCATATACAGGATTATTTGTAAAATACTGACAAATTCGCAGTTCCATCATTATAAGTTTATCAAAAATAAACTTTTTTATTATTGATAAACTTTAAATTAATACTTTTTTTAGATTTCATCAATTACGACAAAAACGTCAGTGAAATCTCTCTATCGTCTCACGATATAACACCGCAGCTTGAAATTTTGGACGGAAATTATAGAAGCCATTTAATTAAACAAGAAATGCTATGAAAAGTTACTGTTTTCGACCAAAGTTGTCACCTTTATATATTACTAGTAGTATTATTAATTAGATGTGTATATCTCCTTAATTATGAACTTACTTGTAAATCCAAATTGTTAGCGGCTGGCAATTAGTGACTAAGAACCATTGGCGTATATCAAACTTTGTGTTGTATATAACTAGGGGGTTTTCTGTGAAAACAATTAAATTGTATAATATACAGTTTAAAAAACATTCGATAAAGTCAGTTGGAAAGTAGGAAAAGGTAAATTATCTAATATATTTTAAGTTGCATCTATTCTCGCCTTTGGTATTAACAACCATGACTTATAAAAAATTATAACAGGATTTACTACAAAATAACATATAACCATTGCATTAATATTAAGAACATAAATTACCAATATATTTCTGTACAACGTATCTAGTTTTCTGCGCAGGTACATTAATCAGCCCTATTATGTCTTTGATGTTGTTCATGAGTTGAATGCCCCGGCCGCGACATTTGTTGCCGGGCTTCACAATCCATATGTTCAGAACACCGTCAATATCTATTTGGGGCCAGTACTTGGTCATAGTTCCTAAAATTTTAGCCGCTTTTCTTTCTAGTAACCTGAAAGAAAGTCATGTGAATAATGTAGAAGCTGCTTTTTCCTTGACGTTTTTCATAAGGATGTACTATTGTGTTTATATGCCTGCCTACAGGCTACCGTTTGCTTAGAAAAGTACATAATTCAATAAATAAATACAGTTACCGAAATTTTCCCTAGACAGGACTTGGGTTGATAGATATACAGGACCAAAAGCATGTCAAACTTGACACTTTAAGGGTCGTGTTCTAAAACTCTACTCAATGCTCAAGTCAGGATTTGAGTATGGTTTAAAGCACTCGAAATCATACTCAAGTCCCTGCCATTAGGGTCGTATTTCCAGTGCTTGTGTTTCCAGTGCAATCCTGACTTAAGCATTGAGTAGAGTTCTAGAATACGACCCTGTGGGTCGTATTCGAGAACTCTAATCAATGTTCAAGTCAGGACTTGAGCACACTTGAGTATGACTTCAAGCACTGGAAATACGACCCTAATGGCAATGGTTTGAGTGATTTTCAGTGCTCACTGCAATACTCAAGTCCTGACTTGAGTATTGAGTAGAGTTCTAGAATACGACCCTAAATTTGACTCTATAACTCAAAGATTGGACGCTTGCGATTAGAATAACAAAAAGTCCAAAGTGTCAAGCATGATCAGGTATTATTTAATGCAGTTGAGAAACAATTAACTAATTGTGTGTTCATTGTTAAATATTTGACTTTGTAAAATTGTATCAACAAAGATTAAATGAATATTTTGAAAAGTGTAGAGGGTGAAAAATTTTAAATATAAATTCTGAGAAAGTACCATTGTCTGATAAAAAGCGCATGGGCATCCCCAGGGAATAAGAATAAATTTATTGCAGCGCAATATCAAAATAATTCAAAAGGTAAAGTAATTCCGTAGCAATAAAAAGATTCGTCGGGTAAAATACTTCATAGTAGGTAAGTAGATAAACCGAAAAAATAATCAATAATTTAAATAATCAATCTGAAAAAAATCCTAACTATACCTTTACGTGGCTATAGAAATAATTATCTTTGTAATTAAATTTGGATGAATAAAAAATTAAATTTATATGAAGAAAGTGCTAGTTTCTGTTAAAGTATAATTTTTATAATTTTTTAGCCAGTTGTAGAAAAATTTTAACAGCCCGGACTCTTAGTTTGTTTGTGTAACCGAAAAAAATGTTTCATTTACAATTTTTATCTTAAAATATTTGTAGAATGTAGAGAAACTTGACGCTTATTCGCTAGGCATGTCCATGCTTTTTGCAGTCAGGTGTACCTAATGTTGAGGTTCTTGTCATCCATAAACTTTGCTTTCTCGTGCACTAAAAGATAATGATGAGTGAGGAATTGATCCCACTCATGCTCCCACACGTGTTGAGATTGATCTTCTGAGTCATCAATATCCCTATGAGTGTAAAAAGAAACGTACTCATTTAACCTGTTAACTGCAAAATCAATAGCAGAAAATGGAACTTTGCCTTGAGGTGTTACTAAGCACTGATCGCCGTTTATCGCCATTGTATTAGTCAGCCATTTCAAGATGCTGATACAAGCTGTGATTCTAAAATCATCTATGAATTCTTCGAGGCTATCAGAGTTATGAATATTGTAGGAACGAGGAAATTTGGTTAAAGCAACACCTGGATCTGTATACCAGTGCATTTGTGTTAAGGAAGCTGTAAGACCTTCTTTGGTAGTGAAAATCGAACGGCAAAATCTGTGAAAAAGAGAATTTTCCATCGTAGATCAAGATTTCGTAAATTAAGCATCATGTAAATTTTAATAGTGGACTAACTGTACCTGCTAATGACGACTTCTTTATTGCTAAGCAGCCAATCATATCTGTCTCTCTTGGTTGTCCAAAGAAAATCAACTGAGTGGTGCTCCATAAATTTGTAAAGTATCATCCTTTCTACTCTTGACAGTTCTTTGCCTGTTGCTTTCTTTGGGTCCAAATTTAATGGAGGATGCCGCGCCTTAAAAATGACAATAATCGCAGCTTGTATTAGTGTTATATATGTACATATATGGGAATGTGCTTGCTTCGTCTTGGTTTAATCTGAAATGTTTTAAGAATGATGTGACGATGATTTTGACGACGATGATGAAATTGGTAAGCTAGCAGAAGAGATATATATGAATATAAAATATATATATATATATTCACTTCTTACATACTTACGTATTGTATTTAGATCTTTGTCTTGCTTAATGTCAACGGTGAACAATTAGGTATAAGATAAATTATAAAAAACGTAGTGCACGCATACAAATACAATAAAACTTGTCAGACACAAGTTCCATAAGAAAACCGTGTAATAAAAAAGGTAAGCCGAACAGCTAATAAAATGAATTTGGTGCTGCACGACATGAAATTGTGAATGTAATGGACTTCCGCCATGAATTAAAGTAGTTAGTTGGAAATTATAATTAAGCCGGTGTCTTACCTCCCTTTCGGGTATACTAGGCTTTCTTACGTTGTGAGGCTTAGACAAAAGAGAGGGAAATTCATAAGAATCATTGAATAAAACATAAATAACTTTATATATTTTTATACAATATCCGATAACTTTAGCTAAATTATTCTTAGATGAGTGTACATGAACTGACCTTATGTGATTCATATTTCTCGAGCCACCCTCTCTCGACCAGTGCCCGACGGATCGCAGGGAATCCTCCACCTTTAATCATGAAAACTTTGTGCTCCTTCATAGCACTATCAGCGATCTTCTTTAGTTCGTTCCACCTTTCGTTGCTCACCCATGATTTGTACTGTTTCAATTGTTCAGCCGATGGAGATGTTTCTATAATGAAGGTCCCACGTTAGGATAATAGTATTGGAGATCACATTAAACTGGCGTCACAAGCGCCATCCAGGTGCGGAAAGCCCGCTCCACCAACAACTACCTAGTACGTACTGTGAAATATGAACGTAAAGAATGATTGTGTGTGTGTGAGGATTTACCCGACTGAAAATTTATTTCTTAAGGATTTTTTAAAATATATTGTTTTATATACTTACCTCTACAAAAATAAATTGAGTAATGTAGCATGTTCAGTGCATTTATTAAAGGAAGGAGAATTTGGTCGCACCTGGTCCATGTTCCGATTTTGAGAGCGATACAGCACTCGAAGGCCTAAGTTCCTTTTTAGAACTGCTATCTTTCTCTATTTTCGAGTCTGAGACGCTTTCTTCGAGCTCCATCGTTACAGCCATGAGTCTTGGGTACTACTCTCCGGAATCCTGCAACAGACTTCGTCAAATACAACCACCATTGTCGATTTCTTATATCCTAGATCATACGTCTGTACTGTTCAAAAGCGAATCTTGGACTGACTGCTAAATATAGACTCTGTAGTGCAATAACCTACTTTTAACCTAAATCGAGTTCCTTGGTTATCAACGAGGCTTCCGTGCGCATCTCCGCCTGGCACCTGTACGTGTGACGTCATTTACCAAATGTACTGTCCTTCGCAAGTCGTGCAGAGCAATGTACCTGCACACGGAAATTAATAAATCCAAATTGCTCGTACCTTGGTAGCGAGGTCACTACTTGGTAAAACTAGGTTAAAATAAACGCAATAGCGTCCATAAAAAAATAAAATTATAGAAAAAAATGGGAGAACTGTTAATTTTCAGACATTTTTGGTTCCGATGGTCAAAGACAATTTTTAAAGTGTCAGTGATCGTTAACTCTTTGTAATTGATTTTCGGACTCTTTTATACAAAACAGCCTAACTTGTTAGGGCGCATTAAATTCGACACGAATTTCATCGAGCGCGGTCATCGAGCGGAGATCGCGTTGGAGACCGCGTGCGCGTGTCATGGCAAAATACGTTCTATTTATTTGACTTTTACGTTTTAACTTAAATGAGCGTCCCGGGCACGCGGCGAGACTGGGGGTCTACTCTCGATCTCCGTCCGACATCCGTCCGAAACAATTACTGTCAAATAAGTAATATTCGACAAAATTAAAAGACAAGTTATCCAGTATGAAGCTTCATTCGCATCACGCGTCTTTTCATTTGGTCAAGTATTGTTTATTTGGCAGTAATTGTTTCGGACGGATGTCGCACGGAGATCGAGAGTAGACCCCCGGTTTGAATGTGGTCAACACGGCGGCCCGCGCCGTCATATTATTCAGAGGAATTAAAATGTTGCTGTCTAGTAAATAGAATTCAGATTCGATATTAATGTACATACATGAAGGCGTGGTTTCCGTGATGCGACCGCGCGAAAACGTTTTCCTCGTGTAACTGGGCGCTTAGTGATAATACTTATATGAAAAAAAAATGGTTTATATTATTTGCTTTAATTTTTTCCATCCTTTAAAGTTTATACAGCTGTCATTCTTTCATCTATTACGGGCTTAGAGGATGGAAAAAGATTACGGGTACTATCTAGTAACCGTAGTAGTATCTAGTATATTATAGCTTCTGGATGAAATAAAAACGCATAATATAAGGGTTTTAATTACGAAATGACATTGGATTGGCAATGATATGTATTATTTATACTCACTAGGGCCTTTTTAAATGACTAGGACTGTGGCCTGCCGAAGCGATGCGGTGGCTTATGGCTGATACAAAAGTATAAAGTGGAAGATTAAGGGTCCCATTTGCTAGCCACGACATATACCTTCTCCTTAATCATACAATCGCACTTACTGACCTCTGGCACCAGCAATAGTCCACCAAATTGTTGGCGTAATGCTAGTGGGTAAATCCGTGTCTATTTCACTTCTTTCACATTTTATTTAAAAGTGGCTTCACACGGCTCGTGATTTCACGGGTTTCAGGGTCGCGCCGCGCCGCACCATATCTCGCCGACCCGTTGTGGGAAGTGTGTAGCCCGTCTCGATGCGGACTCGCCTGTAAGGGCCTGCGGATCCGCCATGTGTTAGTATATTAAATGCAGCTCAAACCAGAGTAAAATTCGCGACACACACCTTTGTGGGTTGGCGCCAGATTTGACCAGACCCGGATTTGTCTCTGTGGTGCAAGGCGCTGTAGCAAATATGCGTGAGGCGCTTGGCGACCTGTGATTTTACAGGCCTTGTGAAGATACTTTTAGGCTGAGATTCATAAAACGACCTGTGACTTAGACAAAGAAAAAATGGCGAGTTAAGTAAGCAAGTTTTTCGTATTTACAAAATGATCTCTGCCTAAGTCTAAGCAAGAAATTAAATTAAATTTTGAGTTTATACCGTAATTTCTTGCTTAAACTTGGACAAGGTTGGTTTTGTAAATACCAAAAACTTGCTCAGCTCGTCATTTTTGCTTAGACAAAGTCAAAATTCGTTTTGCAAATCTCAGCCTGCCAATAATGCCAATATTCAAAGATATCTATGTACGTACTACTAGTCCAATATTATATTCTTTACGTGTTCCGAAGTTCAATTTCCAGTAGGACCAATATGAACTTTTCTAGATTGGTTCTGGTCTGGAAGTTTTGGGTCCGTTGCTTTAGTACCTAGGTACTATATAATTACTATAAAATGAAGTCCCTAGTTTGAAACTACGATTTAGTGTGGTTGACCAGCAAGTTATTGTTTTTTAGGAAGATTTACTTTGTAGTTAAAGCAAATAATACATGCTTGAAGGTGTTAACTTCGATTTAATGATATCGTAGTAAAACTTTCACACTGTGACCGCCTTCGCGCTTAACTTTAAAAGATCCGTCGTACAGTTGGTACAACCGAAAGCACATCGTTTTTCCGGTGGCGTTATGATAATGCAAATTTTTTTTTCTGGTTGGTTTTGTTGAAACAGTTTGTACATTGCTATCATTGACTTACAATGCTATAATAATTTTATTTATTTAATTTACTTTTCGTTCAAAAATTTGTGACTAAGGAGAAACAAGGAGAAATTAAACACGGAAATGCCTTTATACGAACTTCACACTAAACGTGGTTATATTGGTAAACTTGACAGAATGACGGCAAACTTGTAGTATTGATTCTGAATGTTGGCGCGACCGATTGTGACATGAAAGCAAGATGGCGAGTTCATCTCCGTTTGATAGTTCTTTCCGTGATAACTCACACATTTGAAGTAATTTTTCGAACTTCTGTTTCGTAATGGTCTCGTAAATCAAATAATTGTGAATAAATCTTTATGAAGTGTAGTGTTTAAAGTACTATAAAGTGTCGCAGTTAGATGTGCATCTAACCCACCTGAGGAATGTTGGTTTTTTCAGTGATTTGTGATTCGGTCAGGTGTTTTCGTTTTAGTCAAAATTAAAATTTTGTTCTTGCGCAGTGAGTGAATTTACACAGTTCAGATGTATTTGTGCCGTGGGGATGTTAGATGTCGGGACTGTCTTCAATGTTGGGAAACAAAAGCGTGAACTATTTGTTTTGATAGAACGTGATAAGTAGGTAAATTGAGAAGGTCGGACTGAGAAAGAGCCCCGGCGGGAGTGATGGCCTTCAGTGAGGTGAGTGTCTTCTATATCTTACCGACTGTTTGCTATTGTTATTCCTTTTTTCAATTACAGCTGTTTATCATTATCGTGTCTCTAATCTTTAGTCAGAATTTTGACAAAATCTTGTCCAACTAAACCTCATTACTACATACGCAAAGCATATAAGAGTCGAACTGTAAACTGGTTCTGAAAATTATAATTTGCTAATTGGAATTCCTAACAAACCATAATGGACTTGCATATTAATTATTGTGGCAATGTATTTGGTATTTCAAATCACCAATCATTGATAAAATATATGTAAGCATGAAAATTTGTGTTCGAATTAAAAAAAAAGAACATTTACATTCTGCTTGAACGAGTATTATTAGTCATTAAGAAGAAATAAAAAAAATGAATAAAAGTTTGTTAAAAAGTTCTTAAAACAAGAGCTAAGTAAGTAAGTAAGTAACTTAAAGCAAGAGCTAACTCATAAGAAAAATTGCCTTATTAAGTGCTATCATATATTAATTTTTTTTAAAGAGTGTTCTGATTAGTGTTAGGCTGTGGTCTCTGCCTACCCCGATGAGAAAAGGACGTGAATTGTATGCATAATCGCAAATTTGTAGCTGTAATTTGGACACCGAACATTGAAGTGACTAAAGCAAAATTTACGTTGGTTGGGTAAATAGTAAACATATTTACAAACTACAGCTAAAATATTGTTGACTCCTAAAGTGTAATACTGCTTAAGATCCAAAAGGATGGAAGGTGGTGTTATTTCAACTCATTGTTCTCACAATGTTATGGATTTTTTCATCAAAGCATGCACACATTACAATATGTAACATAATCTCAGGAAACAGCAAATACTCATCACAATATATTTTCAACTTGTTATTATTACACATAAATAATAAACTTGATAAAAAGGAATTTGCTATACATAGTGAATGTTTTTTAATATTTATCATTTTAGTTGAATATACCTAAAAAAATATTATTTAATTTAATCTTGACTTTGATTTTTTAAATTTATGAACAATTCTAAATGTCGATTAATTGCAAATTCATTTTTAATTTTATAGTTACATGTTTGTACAAGTGGAAGTTCTACCAAATTCAATAACGTTAATATTTTTATTTAGTGTTAGCGTCTAGTTTTAGAATAATAAAACCACATGTTTTTGTTACTTTCTAGATTCTTTTTTGTAAATGTAAAAATGTGAATGTGAATTATTTTGAAAAGTTTTTACAAATTATATAACCATCTCAGTATACTTTTAGATGAACAACAAGTAAATTAATATTTTTAGATGAGAGATTTGCAACTTATATACATGAGTCTGCTTGTGTTGAAAATACTTTTCTTTATTACCAGCTGGTACTCGCGACTGCGCCTGCGTCTGCGTAGAATAAGTCCTTCGAGTAGCCTAATGTATTATATACTAAATGTCATAGTTTTATAGGTTCTCCATACAAACTTATCCCCTATTTCACCCCCTTTAAGATTGTTTTTGTGACAAAAGTAGCCTATATCCTTCTACTAGGTCCTATGTATGTATATCTATACCAAAATTCATCTGTATTCGTTCAGCTATATATATGTAGTACCTGTATTGTTTAGGCGCGAAAATGTAGCACATTTTTGCATTTATAATATTAGTTGGATAAGTAAGTGCACATTTTAAAATGCTGTGTTAAATTTCTTTGTTTTTACATAGGTACGTACACTTCAAGCCCTTTTCGACCCATTTTTCGATTGGGGTATACCGAGTCCACGACTTTTCACTTGCTACGATCTTGATTCACATCTTTTTAACCGACTTCATAAAAGGAGGAGGTTCTCAATTCGACTGCTTTTTTTTGGTATGTATGTTGCGCGGTTATTTTTGTGAACGGACTTTGAGGATTCTTTTTTGTTGGAAAAAGGGTACCACAGTATTGGTTCCATTTAAATTTGAAGAAAATATTCCACCTCTAAGGGTGGCAAACTAGGGGATGAATCCAGTTTCGCGCACTTTCCGGTAATCGATTTCAATAATACTTGGCAAATAGATATAGTTCCTAATTTTTGAGGTCGGTTTATTTTTGCCTCATCAACACGCGTTAATATACTTCTTAATTTCTCAACTTTCAAATTACGTATATCGTAAGAATTTCGCGTATTCAATAATAATTACACAATGTCTTAGCATTTACTTGGAGAACGT